AATATTGGAAGTACTATTCATAATACATCAATTTTGGTAGTACTCTTACCAGGTATATCAATACTGGCAATACTTTCATCATATATCAGATATCATTAATATTACATCTACTCTTATCATTGAGGTATTAGCATGACCATTCGTACTCTTATCATTGATCAGACATTAATTAGCACAATATTATCATTTTAGTACATCATCTCCATACGTATCACTTGTATCACACTTCAATATTATCATGTTAATCACAATATATCATTTCAACCCATTTTCAATATGCCTTTTTCCTACTCAGTTTTCTAAAAAATTATTATACACATATTTAACTGATAAAAATATTATAAAATCATATCAATTTATTCAGAATGGTTAAATATATAATATATCAAAAGTTATAATGTAAAAGCTTATAAAATAAAGAGATGATACAGTTTAGCAGATTTAGGAGAGATAAATTTGTAGAAATCAAAATCATCAAAAATAAAAGAGAGAGGATAGCTAATTATACTGCTTAGAACCATTTTTGTTAAAGAAAACATCTGACAAAAATGACTAGAAATGGACTCTCTCTCTCATCGTTCTCTCTTCCTCCATCTCCCTCTCCCTTTCTTTCTTCTAGTGCAAGCTAGCCGAATGAGTGTGGGAGAGACAGTGGAGGGATATTTAAAATAAAATATATTAAACAATATTATTAGTGGCCTAGCACAATAGCTCTTAAACCCAACACAACAATGCTGCATGTCAAATTTAGAGTTTCTATAGAGCAGAGACGCTAATGCCACAACGACAGTTTCTAACTCCATTGTTCTCTCAAATCTAGAGCCACAACACTCATTAGTATAAGTCGAAGGGCTAGTTTAAATAAAAATTAATTTTTTTTAACACATTTCTTTTTGTCGGGTTATTACAATATCCCCATCTTTAAAAAAATATTGTCATCGACATTTATATATCAGTATGAAAGAGAGAACATACTTAAAATAAAATTTCATGACTATTCGATATTCAAATAACTACAAATCAGAAATCACATCAAAATTGGATCTAACATTACATAAAAAACTTGAAAATTATCAAATAATGCAATCATACCAGTTAAATGCTTGTGCACACTAACAAAACTATCATGTACTCCTACTGAGATGGAGCAGTACATCTCATAGTTCTTTCACCAATCTGAATAACCCTTTGCCTAGGTCCACATACCATGCAATGCATCATCTTATGGCCAAGGCCACCACACCTGAAACATTGCCCGATCACTCAATAATATCGACATGCATTCTTTCTTCCACACTAAACACACTGTGGAACAGAGACTTTCATAATCTTTTTCTTACTCCCTTCACCCATTATATAACTCGAGGAGGTTTCTGTTCGGACTGTTTGGCTAAGTTTTTACTGATTAACAAAGCAATTATCAACCAATTTTAATACACCCTCGGGTGTAATAAAATTGGATTCTTATTAAAGGTTCCACAGCATTCTTATCAATGGGATGTTCTTTCTCATTTGGATTCTCTTTCATGTGCCTGAATAACTAATCAAATATTAAAATGTGATATGTAAGAAAAGATATATGTAACAAATATTCATGAATGTAAATTGTAAAACATATTTTTATTTTTATTATGCTCATAATCTCTAGTCACATCTTAATTATTCCAATAATCATTGCTCTGATATCAATTTGTCATACCCAGAATATATAATGAAAGAATTGGATCTAGCTTACTTTTTTTTCTTTAATCTAGAAATTTTGTATTTTATATACACAAAAGAAAGAAATATGATTGCATTTATATTCATTAGTATGCATAATAATTACAAACCCAAAAATGTCATGTATACAATAATCATGATACAAAAAATTAGTTATATCATTATAAATACATCATGACTATAAAATGAACTACTATTGTCAAAAAGAAAGAAAACTAAACAAGCTGTCATGAGTCTCACATCGCAGGGCCTTTACCCTTTCCTAGAAACATGTAAAACTATGTAATGAGCATTAAATCACAATAATAACTAAAATCTTATAACTGAAATCAATATAATAAAAAGAGAAATAATATGCTGTAAAGTAATAAAATTTGTATATATATATATATGTGGGTTATATGTACTATCATATCACATCTCAATATATTATATCATCAGTAATAATATTAGTAATAATGATTCATACTAATACTAGTAATCAGTGTCAGTGCTAGTCACAATATCAATATAGTATAAGCTACAATATCAATAATAGTAATGAGCAATCAATTAGTAATTAGTATTAATGGTCAATATTAGTATATATGAGCAATGACAGTACTCTTATCATGTATATCAATACTAATAGTATTAATTATAATATATCAATACTAGTAGTACTCTTATCATGTATCAGATATCATCAATATTATATATACTCTTATCGTTGAGATGTCAATAGATTCATCTGCACTCTTATTGTTGATCAGACATCATTTAGCACATCAATATCATTTCAATACATCATTTCATACATATCACATCAATTATTTCATCCCATATAACATTTCAACTTTATCATGCTAATCACAATACACCATTTCAACCCATTTTTATATGTTTTTTTTTTCCTACTCATTTTACTCCAAAATTCATATACATGTATTTAACTGATAAAAATATAATAAAATCATATCAAATCATTTAGAATGATCAAATCTCTAACATATCAAATGTTATGAGGTGAAAGCTTATAAAATCAAGAGATAATACATTTTTAGCATATTTATGAGAGATAAATTTGTAGAAATCAAGATTATCGAAAACAAAAGTAAGAGAATAATTACTTATAATGCTTAGAAGAATCTTCAGTAAAGAAACAATAGATAAAAATGACTAGATATGGACTTTCTCTCTCCTCCTCTCTTCCTTCCTCTCCCTCTCCCTCTCCCTTTCCTTCTTCTCGCACAAGCCAACCAAATGGGTGAGGGAGAGGGGTGGAGGGATATTTATAGTAATATATATTAGAAAAACATTGTTAGTGACCTAGCGTCGTAGCACTGCATGTAAAGTTCAGAGTTACTATAGAACAGAGACAATAACACTGCAACAACAGTTTCTAGCGTCGTTGTGCTCTCAAACCTAGCACTGCAATGCTCACCAGCATAGTGCCAAAGTGCTAGCTAGTTTAAACATAAATTCAATTTTAATTAATTTTTTAACACATTTCGTATTTTTGAGTTATTACACTATGAACCTACTATCATAATTAAAGCACTCAAAGATCATAAATGGCATCAAGCCATGTGAGATGAATATGATGATTTAATGTAGAATGGACCATGTGAAATTTTCCCCCTCCACCCAACTACACTAAAAAATTGATTGGATGCAAATGAGTTTTTCATAACATGCAAACATAACTTTGATGACTCTATTAACAAGTAAAAAAAGCTTTGTAGATTGATAAAAGCTTTCACCTATAGATGATAGTTGACTATCATGTAGTCAAACTTGCCATTATATGACTAATTCTCAATGAAATGTCAGTTGATAATTTTATCTTTTTCAACTAAGCATCAAGAATTCTTTTTCTTTAATGTCTTAGAACATTATTATGGTTTAACCCTACGCTTCATAAGACAAATCACCCAAATTAGTGTCTTAATCTTCTTTTTCTTTTTTTACTATTTTTGCTCTTTATATTTGAATAAGTTTTACTTATTTCCCAACAACATCATTAATATCATATATACTTGGCTCAATGTCCTACAAATTTTCTTGTAACTCTTCTTGCCTAATAATTTTCTATCGAGTAACTTGGGCTACTACATTATTTTTTCAACATAGAAGTTATTCCACACCAACATGAACTTCTCTTATTTTAGAGTCGATGCACCCTTAATCTTTTTGTTTGCACTTAGTTGATGAAAGCAACTCTACCTCTTGTTGCCTCACCTATACTCTCCTTCATGTTTGCTTTGTGCATTCTAATTTTACTACTTATAAGTTATTATAGGCAAGTCTATAGTAAGTAATTCGTATGCATCAGATTTGACATTCACCTTAGTCCCCTCTAATTTTTTTCACAATGTTAATTTCACAATTTTATCTATGAATTTAGTCTTTTACTCATGGACAAAATAAGTTATTCTTGATTCTCATTTTATCCAAATTATCTATGAACAAATTCAAAATAGTATCCTTTTTAAGTGTCACGTTTTTCATACCAAATTATATCCACATTTTAGTTTCTCTACATTGAGTATCAAGGATAAATTCTCCAAGTGGAGCTCCCTAAGGGCATGTTAATTAGAACTAAAACATTTGTTAAAATTATTTAATTATATTAGTTGCACATATTTTCTATGATTATTTGATATATAATTCATTTAATTAGACTAAATTTTATTTTTGAAAGTATTATTTAAACTATCAAATTCAAATCATGTATCTTATAACATATTCATTCAAATCAATAAAAAAAATGCATTACTCCAATATCTAATACAAAACATCATAAAACTCTCAGATGTGCTTTGAGAAGAGGGCATTACTAGTTATTTATGTGTTGCACCTATCTCAAAGTAACTTTAAAGGCTTAAATGCCTATCCTATCGTTGTCACTATCCATGACACTGTCGAGCCCTGCATCAATATCATCTCAAATTGATCACAATTTTATTGGGTAGGACATCCTCCTCTTCCTTGCTTTCTATCGTTTTGTATATTGACAGTGTAAAAAATATCATCTTGAGTATTTTCACTAAAATATATCACACTATATATATGAAGCATTTAAAAATATTTAAATTAATAAAAATTTAAATAATAAAAAAAAAAACTTATTTATATCTAATTTGAGTTTATTATCATTAATTAATAATATAAATATTGATATATGCTTTTAGGAATCCTAATATGATGGGTTATAAGGGTGCAAATTGCATATACAAGTCAACGAAGCCAATTTCCACCCCGAAGTTCTCAAGTGGAGGCGGACGAATTCCAGAAGACTGTTCTTGTTGGAAATAGTCAAGTCTTAATAATTAAGTTGGGTTGGAAAACGAATTCTTCGACCGAGCACACGTTTGCTCTTCTGCTCTTAATAAACCCTGCATCATCCATGGTAGTTGCAACGGTATTAGCTGAAGCTGAAGCAACGAAACCAAATCCTTTCTTCTCTTCTTCCTCTTCTTCTTATTCTTCTTATTCTTCTATTTATTCAAATTCTTCTAGCCATAGAACTATCAATACTCTGAAAAGAAATTGATGGAGTTAATTTCACCAAGACCGTTGACAGGAGCACAGGAACTGAAGCATGAGCTTTTTATGAGGGCTGAGGAGCTCGAGAGGCTTGTCGCAATATACAAGCTCAAGCTGTGCGGTGAAGAGATGGCTTCTTTGAATTATGGGAGTATGTTGATCGATCAAGTCAATACAGATGTTTTGGGGGACCAGAGAGGCCAATTCTATGATATCTACATGAGGAAAAGAGAAGTGAAGTTGAGAGAGGAATGGAGAGCTAGAGGAGCTGAGAAGAAAGCAGAGATGAGAGCAATGATGGAGAGTCTAGATAGCACTTCTTCCACGATGATGAGCAAGGGAAAGGTACTAAACTATCTCAACTTTGTTTCTTTATTGACAATTATGGGAAGTTGAGGACTTCTGCCTTTGTATTTTGTCCTTCTGTTGTGATTTCAAGTGCTGTAATCTTAGATATCAAAGATCTTACTCAACTACACATTCTACTAATAACTAGTTTTTTCTAATAGGAAACAGAACCCATGAATGATCATTGTAGACAGAGCAATTCACGAAAGCTTTCCTCAAGCAGTAGTAATAGTTCTTCCACTTCTCGGAGCTCAGCAACAGCCACAAATAATTCTGCTATCAGACCTTCCAACTCAGCCTCCTTGAGAAAAGAAAACACTAAGGCATCAACTGGAATCAGAAATGAGACCACCCTGCAAAAGAGCATTGCTCGAAGCCATAGCTCTAATGACAGGTTTAGTATTGTCAAGGATATCAAGGCCAGAAGGTCACAGTCCTTGCGAAAAAACTCTGTGAGTCTTGGTGAGCCAAAAAACTTTATGCATCTCAATTATGATCCTGATGCGTTAACACCACCAATGAATACTAATCCTCCAAGGAATGGTGCACCAAAGCCATTACTTAGGAAGAGCTATGGTACAGGTCCAACAACTAAACTGAGAATCTCTGTGGCTTCTGAAGCACCTATAAGTGAAGAATCCTGGAATCCTGCATATCATAGATTTCAAAGTAACGGTCATATTGATGAAAGTCAGAAATCAAGGAATTCTCATATGGAAAAGTTTCTTTTTGACGTGCACAAGGCATCTGATTTTGATTCATCAATGGATTCTCTATGCTTAGACCAAGCAACAAGGGACTCACACGACATAAATCAAAATTTAGAAGGTAAGACTGTTCGAGCAAGGAAGAAATGGGGAAGTGTAGAGAGACCTTTTGTAGCTGTTGATGCCTCTACTCATTCCATCATGGATGTAACAAAAGGGATTAAGAAGTTTTTAAAATTTGGAAACAGAAGTAGAGGAGCTAAGATTAATAATGGCAAAGAAGATAGCCATGATTCAGAAAATTTTGCTTTCAATGCGGATGGGACACATTATGAACAAGGTACATTGATTATTTCCAGCAATAGTTTTATCTTATATTTATAAATACTTGGTAATGTCCTCATTGCAATTCTAGAGAAGATTCATTTCTTAACATCATTTTTTCAATTTCTCTGACATCTAAATACTAATTTTTTTTCTGAAATGTTTGCAGCTGCGCGTTCTCTCTTCTCTTCCACCATTTTGTGTCAGGGAAAATGAAAATTAGAGCACATGAAGGAACCAGGACCTGTATTTGTTAGAAGATTTAGATCTTCATGTTGAATACATGTTACTATGAGCTTGCTTGTTCAGTTCTTTTATTTTTCAGATTTAAGGTTCCCCTTGTAAAAATGCCCCATGATTTTTCTTCTCTGAAGCATGGTGTAAAAGAAATGTTTATTTATTAAGCCATTTATTCTCTGTGTGTAATTTTGTTCGTTCCATATTTTTTCTTATTGAATTGAAACCTCAAATATAATTTCATAACCACTGTCAACGATCTGGTTTGCGTTTAAAACTAGAGTAGAAGTATCTGCTTCTTTGTGGCATTTCATTTTCAGTAAAGGTGATGTTTGTGCTCTGTACCACACATGAAAACCAACTTCTGAACTTGCAATTGAATCACCATAAATAATATCTTTTTATCTTTCTTTTTATAATACTTTTGCATGGAGGTAAGGCAGCGATTGACATCCTGCTAACTGATTCTCTTGTTCATAAAAAAAAAATTTCTGATGTAGTTAAAAGATTTAAATTCAGTGGCTCCTAATAAAGTAAAATTGTAAAGGTTGCTCAAACTCCTCTTCTCGTAGAAGAACATAATTTAATGTCCATCCTGCTATATTGTGGGCTATGAAAATTTGCTTCCCGGCCTATCAGAGTCCTTTTCTTTTCTTTTGGGTCCTCAAGGAGAGTTTCAATGAGTAGGATCCGAGGCAAATTTTCAGAAGGCATATTGAGTTTTAAATAAGATACTACCAAAAGATTTCACCCCGATTTTGCGAGGACTTTATGATTTGAGTTCAGGTTTCTTACAGGCGCAAGCCCCTATGGTTAATTACTCCTCCCAATAGCAAGAGATAACTTTTGATTAAGGCTAGTTGTCAAAACAGATACGTAGAGGTACATAGTATCTGGTGTATAGTAGCAACATGATTTGGTAATTGAAATTTAATATTTAAAATTAAAAATTCATCACCTCGTACTTAAAGAGAAAGGTGGGGGAATGATGATGAACCCGATTAGGATTCCATGGTTTCGTCATCCAGAGCCATCATGGTCTCTAGTCTATTTAGTCAAAGGAGGTAGTCAACCCAACCTAACAAAAGGATCACAGTCGACAGCCATGGTTTTCTTCATCCAAAGGTACTTTATAGACCTGTGGTGAATATTTGCATCGGGGCCCTGCGGTTGTATAATTTTGTATGCATTTTGTATGTTGTAGTGCACGTTCGACGCCTTCTGTCCACTTGTATGAATATTGTGGATCCGATGGCATGACGTGGTACTATACTTATTGCGTATCAAAAATGTAGTTTATCTAATTTCATGTTCTGCACGTCGCTGTCATTTTCTTATATATTCAACCCGTGAGATTCTATTTTAGCTTGCAAAACGGCTCATCATGAACCTTCAACCCGTCGCTCGCAAGTGAGCTGATTTATCTAGTGTGACAGCCTGACATCACAAATTTGATGCCTCGTCTTATCAGTGGCCCACAACTTTTACTATTGATTCCCTGGTTTTACTTACAGTTGAGTCATAACATTTTATTTTAGGTTATTTGCTATTTCATGTAGGTGGACTATCGTGCCCCAATAAATCTTCTTCATTTGCTTGCAAATATTTGCATTCATTACAAGCTTCTTTGCTTGTTTGTGGACAACTTATACAGTATATTATTTTTTGACACTCCATGATATCAATGTGTTACTGAGAAAGGAACAGTATCCCAAGGTGGATTTTTTAGTGTCTTTATCACTTTCCCAGTCTGCATCTGAATATGAGTGGAGTTGCAGTGGTCCACGGGAGATCGGGATGTCGTAGTTCAGTGGTCTTTGATGTACCTGAGTAATTGTTTGAGGAGGTATGCATGATATGGTTGTAGGTTATGTATGTGTTGACAGAATAGGTAGACATGGTAGGCTATGTCCGGTCTGGTGATGGTGAGGTATTGAAGGGATTCTGTTAGTTGTTTGTAGGTTTAGGGATTGTTGAGGAGGGGGTCAAGTGGTATATTTGGTGGGGGTTTGGTACAAGAGGGATTGAATTAAGATTTGCATTGGTGGAGACCTGCTGTGGTGAGAATGGATGTGGCGTAGTGAGTTTGGGATAGGAAGAGGGAGCGGTTATGAGTGGTGATGTTAATGCAAAGAAAGTTGTTGGTTGTACCTAAATGTTTCATGGTAAATATTTGATGTAGATGCAAGATGATGTTAGAGATAAGAGTATTGTTATTACATATGAGTAAGATGTCGTTGACGTATATGAGTTGATAAATCTGGGAGTCATCTTGAGGAGTATGAATAGTGATGGGTCAACTTTGCTTGGGTGGAAGCCTATTTATTGGAGAAATGCTGAAAATGTGGTGAACCAATGTCTTGAGGCATGTTTGAGATCATATATCACCTTGTGAAGACGGCAGATGTAGTTCGAGTGTTGGGAGTCCTCGTATCCTTGGGGTTGTTTCATGTAAATGGTGTATTTTAATTTACCGTATAAAAAAGCATTGGCCACATCTAGTTGGCGGACTTCCCATTGTTTGTTAAATGCAATAGTGAGTAACATCCGGGTGGTTTGGAATTTGGCTACTAGGCTAAATTTCTCTAGGTAGTTAATTCCATATTCTTGCTTGTGCCCCTGAGCTACCAATCGTGCTTTGTATTTGGCTATGGATCCCTTGGAATGGAGTTTAGTTTTTTATGTCCACTTGCAACTAAGTATGGGTGTATTTTGTGGGGGTGGGACTAGAGTCCAAGTTGCATGTTGTTGTAGTGCAAGAAATTCGGTTGCTATTGCTTGCCTCCAATGGTGATGTTTGGATGCCTCAGTATATGTGGTTGGGTATGGAGGTTGAGAAGGTTAATTTTGGGAATACTTGTGAAGTAGGTTGAGGATTATTTTTTGTTTGAGGCAACCTATTTTAATCTTGTGGCCATGGGTTGGTTGGAGGTGGTTGTGGGTCGTATGGTTTGTATGGGATTGGGGAGAGTTATAGTTGATGGGTGGTGAGTGGAGGAAGATGGCGTTAAGGAGTAGGTGCTGATGAAGAAGTTGTTGGTATGGGTTTTGAGGCGAGGGGTTTAATATGAGGGTGGAATGAATGTGTGTTGAGGGGATAGTATTGGTTTGGGTTGTGGGTGTGAGGAGCAGTGGGTTGGATGGAGTGGTTGCATTAGGTGGTGGTGATGTTGTTGGTTGTACAAATGAGAATGTGGTCTCATGAAAGATTACATGTCTGGAGATGGTTATGCGATTGGTGGTTGGGTTAAGGAATTTGTATCCTTTGTGGGAGCTTGAGTATCCTAGAATGATACATGAAGTGTCTCTAGGAGCCAATTTGTGTCTGTTGTGGGGAGGGATCCATGGGAAGCAAGCAGATCCAAAAGTTCTTATGATGGAATAATCTGAGGTTTTGTTGTATAGGATATGTTATGGGGATTTGTTTTAGTTTGTATGAGATGAGAGCCTATTGATTAAATAAGATGCATTTATGACTGCATCGAGCCAATATGAGTATGGTACAGATGTTGTATTTAATAGGGTTCTTGTAGTTTCAATAACATGGCGGAGTTTACGTTTTACAATGTCATTTTGTTGGGAAGTGTAAGGGCATGAAAGCTGATGTATAATGCCATGTTTGTGTAGGTATGTTTGTAGTGTTCCGTTAACATATTCTATGTCTCTATCCGACTTGAAATGTTTGATGTGGTGGGGAACTTATTTTTCTATCATAATTTTGAATGTAATAAAAATGGAGGGGACTTCTGATTTACATATCATTGGGAAAATCCATGTAAAACAACAAAAGTTGTATATAAAAGTAACATAATAACAAAAGCTTTGATGATAAGTGATTGGGAAGGGACCCCATACATCCAAATGAATAAGTTCTAATGGCATTTTAAAATGGGAAAGAGAACTTGAAATTTTGAGTTTGTCGCCTTTAGAGAACTTGCATACTGAAAAAAAATGATAAGGTGGGTATGTTGAGCTGTCTGTTGGTGTTGGAGATGATTTTCATGGTGTAGGTGTAGGGATGCCCTAGTCTATTGTGCCAGATGGCTGCAGCTTAATGACTTATGATGGCTGAGAAGGCTGATGGTTGAGTGATGTGTGGAGGAGCTGGGATCGGATAGAGCTCGTTACGACTTGGGCCCTTGAGTAATGTTTTGTTTATCGTGAGATCCATAACAATAAAACCCAAAGCATCAAATAAAATGGTGTTGTTATTGTCTTTGGTTAGATGGTAAATAGAAAGAAAGATTGTGAGATAATGTTGGGATATGAAGACGTTGGGGTAATTGAAGCTTACTAGAGGGTGTGGTAAGAAGTCCCGCGCCCGTATGAGCTATGGGGAGTGTGCTTCCATGTCCAATCATGATGTTGTATGTACCGTTGTATGGTATCGGGTCACCAAGTGTGAGACTATTAATGCCATTAGTGAGGTGGGAGGTTGCTCCAGAATCTAGGAACCAATCCGGGTTGGGGTTATCATTGTTGGTTGCTAGAGCTGTAGTGAATTGTTGTGGTGGAGGGGTATAGTTGATGTTGAATCTATGCCAGCAAGTTGTGGCAGAATGGCCTTTCTTGTTACAAATTTGACATATTGTTGCCGGTTGGGTGCTGGGATGGGAAGTTTGAAGTGTGAAGCGGCCTCTACCTATTCTTCCTCTGCCTCTGGTTGAGTAGAATGTGTTCTGGTCTAGAGGAGTGTAATGTTTAGCTGCTTCGGCTTATAGGTTAATTTCTTCACTAATCAGAAATGAGTACAAGTCATCTAGGCTGAGGGGATGTACCATGGTGCGAATGGAACTTTTGAATGATTGGTATGCTGGTGGTACACCATTTAGTGTGTAGAGTATAATATTTTCCTTGTCAATAGTAGCTCTTGTTGCTGTTATTTTGTATACCAGGGTCTTGATTTCAGTGAGATATTCAACCATTGTGTGTTACTTCATGGATACATTATGGAGTTCATTTTTGAGTTGAATAACTATTGACCTGTTGGAAGATTGTAACTGTCATTCAACGGTTGTCCAAATAGCTGAAGAGGAATCTAGGTGAAGAACATATGGGAGGATAGCGGGGGTTATGGTGGAGAAAAGGGTTGTAGCTAGGTTCTGATCTATGAGAACACATTCTGTGTATTTAGGATTTGTGCTGGTCGTGCCATCTGATGTTTGCTGGAGGTGGGGTGGTGGAGTTACGGGATCAATGAATGCAGCAAATATGCTAGCTCTAAGTAACTTAGTAACCTATGATCTCCATATGGAGTAATTATCGTTGGATAATTGGGTGGGGACTATGGTTTTAATATTTGAAATAACAAATTTCAGAGATGCAGGAATTATGTAGGTTTCTGCTGATGGATCTGATGGCAGATTGCCGATTTGAGATGAAGAGGATTGGGCCATGGGAAGTTTTCAGGGATTTACCTGTTGTTGGAATCTTCCTGCTCTGATACCATGAAGACAGAGTAGAAAAGAGAAAATCAAGAAAGCTACAGGGTATTTAATGCAACATCTATAATTCTCTTGTGTCATTCTTACATGGAGGTACTAGTGTATTTATAAAGATATATATGTACACGTGTATAGCCACTACCAAAAAACATGCCCTATCGCATCATTTTTTTGCAGCGGTTTACAAACTGCTGCTGAAACCCCTTATTTGCATCATATTTGAAATACAATTGCATCGGTTAAAACCGGTGCAACTTGCACCGGTTAAAACCGCCGGCAAAGCCAAGCCGTGCCTTTAAGACACCCGAAGCCCTAATTCCTCTCTTCTCTCTGTGCTCGCGCGATAGAGATAGAATCCGGAGAGCTGCGACCAAAATCTTCTCCTCTTGCGAATATTGGCCGGCCGGCCCTTCGATCCTCATCGTTGTGAGTCTCTTCCCCTTCATCCTCTTCTTCTCTTTTTCTTCTCATTCTTTTTCTTCATATTCTTCTCCCTTTTCTTCATATTCTTCATTTGTATTTCTTAGGGTTTTGGTAATCACAAATGAAGCTTAGCCGTTGGCCGTCTAACCTATTGACTAAAATCATCTTATTGAACTGAAAATCGTCTACCAACTATATCATTTTAATTTATTGACCTAATAGTTGAAGCTTCAACTTTTTTTTCTCCTTTGGTTAAATTTTGATAATTTGTTCTGAAATGAAAACTTGCTTAGAGTATATGATTTATTTTTTTAAATATGCATTTATTGGGATTTAATTTTGATGTATGCATTCAGTAAATTTTATTTATAAAAAAAATGCTATTCAAATATCTCTCAGAGGAGAAATATATGTCTGATTTTATTGCCTATAAATAAGATTGAATTAGCTTCTTAGAGATATATCTAAAGAGAAATCTATACAAACGGACGACCTTAATGCTTGTATGCTAGGGACTGAGCCTTAGTTTTGGAGTGGGAAGTTTGGGCGGATGTGACAATGTCTTCTTAGCATCGCTGTTCTTCAGGTAAGACAACTCTCTTTCTTCGTCAAATTTTAATTGTAATTCTTAATTCATCCATGATTGCACCAAAAAAAAAAAAGGTTGGCCACCATTTTATAATACAAATGTTAATGTCTATACAACAATTCTGGAAGCTCAATCTCCTTTATGATTTTGATGATCTCTCTAGCAATTAGAAAAAAGGGTTGTAATATTTCTTGTTGCTTGTAAATATAAGTCTTTAATATATTGCACTTTATATATTGTTCTTTAATATATCAATGGAGTTGATAGTTATTGGATGAATTCATTCTTAATTCATTCTTATGTAGTAGGGCTTCATGAAAACCTTCACATAAATTGGTGAATGTTCTATTGCATTTGCTTGAACTGGTCAGTTAATTAGTTGTTATGTTGAGGAATTTCTTGCTCTATCCCATATTATGGATTACACATTTGCTGAAATTTTTGGGGTTGTATGATTGCATGTATTTAGAGAGATGGGACCTGGTCATCTGAAGATGCTATTCAACGATGGGTAAATTTAAATAGTGATTCTAAATTATTTTTCATAATTAGTTTTTCAAATGATTTAATTATATGTTATTGTAATTTAGACACAAGCATGTAATCTTCTAGCTGAGGAAGGGTTGACACCTGAAGAAGGAAACATTGAAGCTAACAAGAGAGTTTTTAGCATAGTAATGGGTCCAGAACATTCAGGGCGAGTTCGTACACAAGGATTTGGTGTTACTCCAACTCAATACTTTCCTCAAAGTACAAATGAAGCAGGTGGTGGAAGTGCTAGTAACTTTGGTCAAATAACAAGTCTACGAGAGGAGTTCAGTGCATTTCGTGATGAGATGCAACAAATTGTGCAATAGTTTCAAATGAATCAACCACCACATGGAGGATCTGATATGGTATGAAAAAAATAATAATTTAATATTAATTGTATATTTATTGATTATTAATATCTCATTAATTTCATTTTATATTCAGGGTGGCAATGACGATTCATCCAATGCATGATAGTCTTCTGTAAGCTTATGTTTCTTTTGTTGATAAGCTGTAGTTTTTATTCTGATGCTTTGAGTTGTATGGATTGTAATGAATATTTCATGTATTTCTAAACTTATGTTGTTATGATTTTGAATTGCAATGGTTCTAGTAATGTACTTGTGATGCTTGCACTTATTATAAGTTGGAAGTGTGTGTTTCTTTAGCTGATTTTGAATTGCAATGGTTCTAGTAATGTGTGTTTCTTTGCCTTGATAGTATAACTCGAAAGCTGTTTGGTTGCAACTGAGATTTGTTTGATTGTTATTTAGTGGAGAACTTACTGCATGTTGCGATTCATTAGGAATACATGGGCTATTTTAGTCTCATTCTATTATCTTCCAATTTTTTCATTGATTCATCTAATATGATCCAATATGGTCCCTTTATTATATGATTGAATGAGATCATGTTTTCTTTCAGGCATTAAATAAAATTCCTATTTAGCTTTCATTATATGGAATTGTTAGTTTATTACGGTCATAGCCGCTGTAATTCCTTATCTCTTGATTGTTGGTATTATTCCTATATTTTTTCTCACAAAACCTGCTTTACAGGTATTTGGTCTGTAAAAGTCGTTTTAAAGAAAAAAATTCTGGGCTTTTGTGACGGTTTTACCCGCCACAACATTACAGTATTGTGGCGGTTTTAACCGCCACAATACTGTAGATCATTTATTTTATACATAACTTGCAGCGGCTATGACCGTTGCAATTCTGAATAATTATAACGGTTTAAACCGCTGCGATATTCAGCTTTCCTCAGTTCTACCCCGCCGGTCTTGAAACCGCTGCGGAATGTCTTTGCAGCACATTGAAATCACGGCGGACAACCGCTATGCAAAAATAATAGTAGCGGTTAAAACCGCTGGGAAAAGTCAAAATTTGTGCTGCGAAAGCCTATTTTTTTTATAGTGGCTGAGATTTATTTAGTCGGTTATAAGTGGATGGTGTGATGCATGAGGCCCAGTGATATGTTAGGCCTTATCGGTGAGCGAAATTCTTCTGTTCTTTATAAGTAATAAAAAGGCCGTTTTAAATGAAACCTAAAAACAAAAACTAAGCAGAATTAGAATCTACAAATCAGCTACGCTCTTTCCACAAGCTTTGAACGTAGAATCTTTCTACATTTTTTTCATTAAACTGAAAGATTTATTGATAAATTCCATTCGAGATATTATTGAGCTTCTCATCTCTTAATAAATGATATTTTTATTTGTATAATATCATCAAAGAATATTATCTGAGAGCTTCATAATCAAATGAAGAAAGAAGTGATCGTTCCTAATGCGTCATGAAGAAGAATCACATGTTCAACAGGATAATCTTATCAATTAACGTTCTCAAACATAGATCAAAGAATTAGTCTTTCTTATCAATTCCTTACAAAATCAAGGAGGAAAAACTACTGAAATGTACATAATAAAATAACTTCTAGCTAAGGAGAAATTTAGTATTAATTTGGCCGATTACAACAACCCTTATAGCAGTCTGCAGATCAGATAACTGGATCATTCTTCTGGTCTTTGGGCTTTCCTTCTTCAGAATAATAAGAGTTAAAAAAATGATTAGTGAAAATTAATGATTAAGCATGTTAAAAAACACGTAAATCACATGATTAGCAAATATTTACTTGTGTGAAAATAATTTTGGATTATGCAATTCATTTGATAAAAAAAAATCAGAAGTAACAAGCAAAATAACACAAAAGAACTAGTTGAAAAGTTACTGATGGTTCATTTAAAAAGCTGGGCTAATGGACAAAATAATATTAATAAATTATTAAAATAAATTAAAGTGCGATAATAAGAAAAGAGAGAATGAATATATAGTGTTTATTTAAAAAAAAATATTCAAATGATAAATTCTGAGAACATTTAAAATGTAGAAAAGCATAATCCGAGAGAGAGAGAACAGTAACAGAGAAAGTAAAGACTACAGAAATGTAATATTATGTTTTTCATTATACTTACAGCAGTCCTGTTACACATATATGTAGCATTTAATATTGTAGTAGATACACGTGTGAGCTTCCTATAGGATACATTAGCTAACGGTGAATAATATAACTCTGTTCTTAACATCCCCCCTCAAACTGGGTGTTGGAAGAAATAGTCAGTTTGCTGCGAAGGATTTTGAACCGAGGTGTAGACAATGGTTTAGTATGGATATCGGCGACTTGATCAACCGTACTTATTGGTAGGAGACGGATAACCTTATTGAGAATATGATCACGTATAAAGCGTTGATCAATCTCAATATGCTTGGTGCGAGAGTGGAAGACGGGGTTGTTGGCGAGAGCAATTGTGGACGTATTATCACAAAAGATGTCCACTGGTTCCGAGTGAATTACCCGAAAATCAGCCAACAAGCGTTTGATCCATATGATGTCAGCTGTAGCGGAAGCTAAGGCCCGGTATTCGGATTCGGTGGATGACCGGGATACAGTATTTTGTTTCTTGACAGTCCATGAGACTAGTGTATCGCCAAGGAAAGTACAAAAGCCGGACGTAGATCGGCGGGTTGCTGGATTGGAAGCCCAGTCAGCATCGGAGTATGTACGAAGGAGAAGAGTAGATTTGGTAATAGGTAGCCCGAAGTCCAGTGATCCTTGAATGTATCGGAGAAGTTTCTTGAGCATGACCGTGTGTATGGGCTCTGGAGTGTGCATGTGCTGAGAGAGGATGTTGACGGCATAGGCAATATCCGGTCTCGTCAATGTAAGATACTGGAGGCTTCCTATGATCCTTCTGTAGGAGAGGGCATCAAAGATTGGTGGATCATCTGGTTTTGAGGCTGTAATTTTTGCGATAGAAGGATTAGCGACTGGATTACATTTTGGTAACCCGGCCATTTGTATTATAGATTGTGCATAGAGACGTTGAGATAGAAAATACTTATCATGTGTGTGATCTATCTTGATGCCGAGGAACTGGTTTGCCGATCCAAGATGCTTCATGGTGAACTTCTCCTTGAGCTTGTCAACATGTGCCATCATTTCTTGGGCGTTGTTACCCGTGATAAGGATATCATCTACATATACCAGTAGATAGATGTGTGTGTTGCTGTCGTGAAATAGGAGGAGAGATGGATCTTCTTGGCTGTGCGAGAACCCGATCTGACGAAGATAAGAGGTAAAGGTAGTGTACCATTGTCTCGGGGCTTGACGCAAGCCGTAGATTGCTTTTTGGAGGCGCATACGTGCAAAGGATTTGTAGCATCTTCAAATCCCTTGGGCTGCTGCATGTAGACTGTTTCAGTTATGTCTCCATGCAAAAATGCATTGGCCACATCTAGTTGTTGGATCTGCCAGTTGTGAAAAAGAGATATGGTAAAAAGAATTCGGATAGTAGGAAGTTTGGCGACAGGACTGAATGTGTCCTGATAGTTAATGCCATACTCCTGCTGATTTCCTTGAGCTACCAATCGCGCTTTAAACCTGGCAACAGAACCATCATAATTGTATTTTGTGCGATACGTCCACTTGGAACCAAGAACGGGTGCATTAATTGGAGGCGGTACCAAAGTCCAAGTACCCTGTTTTTGAAGAGCAAAGAATTCTTAAGCCATTGCTTGACGCCACTCGAACTGTTTGCAAGCTTCGCTGTACGTGGTCGGATCACTAGGAGCTTGATTTTGATGAAGTAAGTTAAGGCGTTGAACCGGTTTGAGAGAACCAGTCTTCGATCTGGTAGTCATCTGATGGTGTATGTTGTTGGTTGCAGGAGGTATAGCTGTGGCTTGAGAAGTAGTGGACATTGGTATGATCTCCAATTGAGTAGATGGATTACTGGAACCCAGAGATGCGGAGCGGATGGTGTGGTCCGTCTGGTGACTTTGGTGCGAAATTGAGTGAGGTATAAGCAGTGAAGTGGGAGGTTGAGGTACCGTTGGAGTAGTCTTAGGAGTACTGTCATGATAAGGAAAAAATGATTCATTAAATTGAACATTTCGAGAAATTACAATTTTATTGGTGACAGGGTTAAAACATCTGTAGCCTTTTGACACATCCGAGTAACCCAGGAAGATGCAGGGTTGAGATGTTGGCATAAGCTTCGTGCGGTATACTGAGGGAATTAATGGAAAGCATTGACATCCGAAAACACGAAGATGTTCATATGATGGTTGGATGTTGAACATTCTTGTGAGCGGAGTCAAGTTCTTGGTGGTCATGGACGGCATGCGATTAATTAAGTAAATAGCCGTTTGTGCGGCTTCTAGCCAAAACTGCATTGGAAGAGCAGCCGTCTGAAGAAGGGTTCGGGTAGTAGAAATAATGTGCCGGTGCTTTCTTTCCGCAATACCATTTTGTTCTGGAGTGTAAGCACAAGAGTATTGATGTCGGATCCCTGCATTCTTAGTGAAACTGTGAAACGTGTTGGTCACAAACTCACTGCCACCATCAGTCTGAATCGTTTTGAGTTTGAGTGAGGTTTGTCGTTCAATAAACTTAGTGAAAGAAATAAACGTGTTAGTCACATCAGATTTATGCATGATAGGAAGTAACTATGTAAAGCGAGAAAAATTGTCAACAAAGATGACATAGTATCTAAACCCTTGGTGAGACTGGACCGGAGAGGGACCCCATACGTCAGAGTGAACAAGTTCTAAAGGTGAACTCGTTCGACTAACCGAGCGATCGAATACAAGTTTTTGACCTTTACAGGACATACAAGAATTACAAACAGATTTAAGCGGTAAAATGCGTAAAGTAGGATTGTAATTTGAAATGTTCTGCAGGACTTGGTGATGTGGGTGTCCAAGTCTGAAATGCCAGTTCATTGTAGCTGCACTGGAAGCTCGTAAGGCTGTAGCCGGTGTTCTTGACGCAGTAGATGGGATCTTGTAAACGCCTTTGCTGCACGGGCCTTCAAGTATAACCTGGTTTGTCTTCCGGTCCTTGAATACAAAACCATTTTCATCAAACGTTACCGATATATGATTATCTCTTACTAAGTTTGAAATAGAAAGAAGATTGTAAGAGAGTGAAGGGATATGTAAGAGTTTCGAAAGAAAAAGCTTACTAGCCGGGGTAGGAAGAATGCCCGAGCCCGTATGAGCGATTGGGACAGACCTTCCATCCCCAAGCGTTACCGTTTCATTGCCGTTGTATGAGTTGTAGAATTCCAGATTTTCAGTGGTATTCGTCATGTGAGAGGATGCCCTAGAATCAATATACCAGTCCGCTGTGGATGATCCGTCTTTCTGAGCCGCTAGAGCATTGTTGGTCTTGGCCGAAGGAATCGTTGGAGAATAATTTGGATTAAGACGATGCCAGCACGCCTCGGCACTATGACCATTCTTTTTGCATATTTGACAGGTAATAGCCGAAGTACCGGAATTGTTTTGTGTTGAGGTATTGTTATTCGTCGGTCTTGCTCGTCCACGCCGGCCACGTCCACGTACAGAGTATAATGCTGACTGATTGTCCGATATTTTAGGAAATTTCTGTGCCGTCGTCTTGAGATGGATTTCCTCACTAATGAGGAGGGCATAGAGGGAATCAAGAGATAGTGAGCCTTGCATAGTACGAATGGTGGTGGTGAAGGACTGATACGTCGGAGGAAGTCCATTCAGGATGTATATAATGACATCTTCAGGATCAACCGACGAGCCAGCCGAGGCAATTTGATCCACAATTTTCTTGATCTCAGTAAGATACTGAGTCATGGACATTGTTTGCATTGAGATATTGTGAAGCTCATGTTTCAATTGAATCACCTTTGAGCAGTTAGAAGACTGAAACCGGGTGGGAAGAGTTGCCCAGATTTCTTGGGTTGATTCAAGATGAATCACATATGGGAGAACTGCCGGAGATATGGTGGAGCACATCGCCGTCGCCAAATTTTGATCTGTGACCAGCCAAGATTGGGGATCGTGATTCGGATCAAGATTTTCAGACAGGGTTTTGGAATCAAGAAACCCCGCGAATCCATTAGCCCGAAAAAGCTTGGCAAGTTGAGTGCTCCAGATCGGAAAGTTGTCCAGAGTGAGTGCGTGCGGCACCAAGAACTTGAGATTAGAGATAACAAACTTTAACGAGGAGGAGATGGCCGGAGATTGTGCGGCGACAACGGTCGTTGTACCGATAGACGAGGAAGCCTGGGCTTGATTTGCCATGGCAGGGAACCTCAAGAACGCCCGACTCCTGATACCATGTAGAAAAGCATAATCCGAGAGAGAGAGAGAGAGAGAGAACAGTAACAGAGAAAGTAAAGAATACAGAAATGTAATATTATGTTTTTCATTATACTTACAGCAGTCCTGTTACACATATATATAGCATTTAATATTGTAGTAGATACACGTGTGAGCTTCCTATAGGATACATTAGCTAACGGTGAATAATATAACTCTGTTCTTAACATAAAATAGTAAGTAGAATATCAATTGATTAGGATTTGTCTAGATCAATAGGTGTGGGCGAAGGGCTTATGTTCAAGTGCACGATAAAGGAGTGCACATTTGGAAAAATTATTTTGTACAGATGTCCGGAAGCCAATTAAAATACATCACGTTACTTTTTTACTACACCGCGACATGATACTGATCAATACAGCGGCTCGGTACTGTTAACGTGATTGCACCTGATCCGCCTCCAGACGTAAAGCTGCTTCTGACATCCGCATAGAATAATCTCTTACACATTTGACTATTATTCATAAAGTACTTCATAATTTTTGAATAAACAACAATCCAAAGTTGTGCTCTCTAAAAAAAATAAGATACAAAAAAAAATATAGCTATTCCTAATCCCTTCAAAATTTATATAAAAAAAAATTCAAAATATCATCATATAAATTATATTAAAGAGCATTAAAATGGTTGAATTTACTTTAAAATTAGAACAATACAAAATAATATCAAGCATATCTACAATTTATATTAAGATATATCCTAACATAATTTTTTTAAATTTATTATATTATGATTACTAGATGCAGTGGTTGAGGCAGAATTTTTTATCTGCGATGGCACAAAATTTTGACTTTAAAAATAACCTCAAGCTTTTTCATTTTAGCTTGAAATTGGTCGTTATTATTTTATTATTTTTTAATTATAAGAAAATAAATTTTATGTAATGAAAAAAAAAACTTATTGTCATGCTCTTGTAGATTAATTTCAACACAAACTTATTTAAACTATATCTTATCATACTAATATATTTCAACAATTCTTCTGCCGTATATTTTCATATCTCATTTAAATAAAAATATAACTAAAATTTTTTTTACAACAAGCAATAAACATACAAAAAAGCTGCATTTTTTATTATAAAAGTATATTAAAAATATATAACAATTTTTAATAAGCATGTTTTAAGCTATGTGATTTAAAATAAAATATTATAATTCTTCTCTAAATAATTTGTTGACTTTAATTATATAAATCTCTTGTAAACTCCACATTTTAGTTTATAAGAAATTTATGTAATTAAAATCAACAAATTACATTAGAGAAGGATTATAATATTTTATTTTAAATCAAGTAGTTTAAAATATGCATATTATAAGCTGTTATTTATTTTTAATATACTTTTTATAATAAAAAGATGTAGCTTTTTTTGTATGTTTATTGCTTTTTGTAAAAAAAAAAAATTAGTTATATTATTATTTAAATGAGATATAAAAATATTTCGCAGAAGAGTACTTAAAATATATTAGTATGATAATATATATTTTAAATAAATTTGTGTTGAAATTAATCTAGATGAGCATGACAATAACTTTTTTTTTCATTACATAAAATTTATTTTCTTATAATTAGAAAATAATAAAAAAATTAAAATAATAACGTCAATTTCAAGCCAAAATGATAAAGCTTGAGGGTATTTTTAAAGTCAAAATTTTGTGTTCCGCAGATAAAAAATCCTGGCTCTGCCACTATCTTCTCCTAATATTTTCTTCGAAAGAATACAAAAACGACATTAAGCTTTTATCGCATTATGTGGGATTGGCTATATTAATCTTTTTTTTTCTCTATTGTATCATACTAAGAGTCAAATTCTCATTTAAATCTAATAAAGAAATATTATTTCTAATACTTTATAACAAAGACTTCTAGTTTTACATATATCTTTATTAACATAGATGATATCTAATATATCTACACTCCAGATATGTCATTAGAAGACCGATGTTTAATGTGACCAAACCATCTAAGACGACCGTAATCTTACTTGTCATTGAAGTTTGTATGATCATATTAGGGGTGTCAAAAGTTGACATGAACCGAAACTCGTCCCAAAAAACTTCAAGTTTGGGTCAACTCGTTTGTAAAATAGGTCGGGTCCCAATTTGGATTTCTGACCCGCCTGAATAATGGGTCTGGTTCGGGTTGACCCAAAAACCTGATGTTGACCCAAGACTAACTTGGATCACGTGTGATGACTCCATATAGATCCAGCATGATGACCTAGCCGCACGCAACGGTTCCCCAACGCTTGCGAAAGTTCAAGTCAAGGATTGCCTCTCTGCACTTTGGCCTTGCCCAAGCTCCTGAAGGTTCCTGCCTCGTCGCGCTCTAGTAGGGCCTTGCCTCCGACCTCGCACACGCTGCGCACACCTACGGCCTACCAAGTCGAGCACTCGAGCCTCACATGCGTTCTCATTGAGCTCAATCCGAGTCTCCAACTCAGTCTGCGTACATCAAATGACGTTCGCGAAAAGAAGGTGGACGAGTTTGCGGGTTGGGTCAGGTTCGAATCATCCCATTTATGTTTGAATCAACTCAGGTTGGACCCGAACCCGACCCATTGACTCTAATTGACACCCCTTGATTATATCAGATTTTATTCTAGATTATAATTTTATAATTGCTAAAAGTTTATTTAAGAAAAGAGAAGAGCAACTCATCATTTATAAAAATAAGAATAGATATAATAAAACATTTTCACCTAAGATAATCTAAAACCACAAAAAGGCTACAAGAATGAATTGTCTAGTTACCATCGTTAATTAAGCCCTTTTGATGCTGCTGCATGACTTGAAGGATATACTTGAATGGTTCAATCTCGCAGGGGAGTGTGAGCGCACCGTCGTGGTCAAATCCAAACTCCTCCTCCGCCTTCGCAAGCAACAATTTGAACACTGGGGAGCTGAGATAAGTCACAGGGATCACGAATCGGCGCTTCTCCTGCCCGACATAAACCGGCAAATATCCTCTCGGCACGTCCGGCGGTGGCTCGGGGCTGTGAGAGGCGGAGTCCTCATCGGAGTCGCAATTCTGATCAATCACCGTATTCAGCTTTGTGTTCACCGCCGTTGAACTTCCTCCGTCGGAGGATATTTGCTTTGGGCCGTTGCCAAGAGTGATAGACTTCCATTTCTTAAGTAATTGCTTCAGCCTCACTATTTGTAGGATTCCGGTCAGCTTCCTGGTATCGTCGCTCATGGTTGAGCGGCCAGTTTGTTATCAGAAAATCTTAAATGATCTGCTTGCTGCAAGGACAGAAAGGAATCAAAATTCAGATTAACAGGATGATTAAGGAGTGAAAATTTTATCGAATTTGTTTTAAGAAGTCTATATAATGAAGGTTTTTGAGAAGCTCTCCGCTCGATGGAACATCTAAATTTCGTTTGAAAATATGATTGAGAAATTCAATTTGGAGATAATGAATGAAAGCAAGAACGATGGAAAATTGAACAAAAATATGCGCTTTTTTCGCTTTTTGTTCGAAGAAGAAGGCATATGAACGGAGAATATGTTGCGTGCTGAAATTGGTAGAAGTGACAAAAAACAAGAGAAGTTACACACGTGTGATGTGCCTTTACACGTGAACAAAGCAATTTTTATAATATATATAAATTCAAAATAACATAAAAATAAAATTTTCATGAAAATATATAGCGTTTTTTTTTATTAATTTAAGACCATGTAAGCCATCACTCATTTGAATGCACACAATAATAAGCTTTGATTAAAATTCTATTTCGATTTGAATATGATAAAAAAATTAATAAATAAATTAAAAAAAAAAATTGGAACATATTCAAAGTCCGTGCTAACTCGACATAAAAATTATAACAAATTACACAATATAGTAAGTGGCTCGACTCATTTTATTTATAGCCCTACTTGAAACTCTTTTAAAAGGAAAATGTTTTCAAATATTTTGAACCATCTCTACATGGAGAAATACAAGATATGGTGGCAAATTTGACTCAAATTTTATCGGTTCAAGACTTCTATAACCATTTTGAAGAGTTTTCAAATCAGATTTTGGTGTCTCATCATCCTTTATTTAGGGCATCTCCAACCTAAAGACTCATTTTCCACACCAAAATATAGTAAAACTTCAAAATGCAATCATTCTTCTCAAATTGAACGTCATTTCTTCTTATTTCACGCGCTTCCTGTGAAGGTAATCATCTTTGGCACGCTTTTCTCCTCTTTCACGAGCTTCTTTGGCAAATCCCATGGCGAATTTTTTTGGCGTATGTGAACAATCTGACGTCAATATTGGCTTCGCACTGTTCACCTACCGGAATTTGACGTGCGATTTGGAGTTCGAATGGAGCAGCAAATGGCGAATGGCATACGGTGGTATGAAGTTCGGTTGAAGATGATCTTAGCAAGGCTTAGTCAAGAGTGTTGAAGATATTTGAAGGGAAGTATGAGCTCTTCAGCAGCAGTCTCTAAGAACTTTATTGTACTATGATTTCATTTGGGAAAAAAAAAATTAGTATTATTTTTCTTTTGAAAACAAAAAAAAAATAATGGCTCAAGTATTTATCCCCACATTCTAATTAATATTTAGAGCCATGTATTTTCAATAGATTGTTATGTCAATCAAGGGTGCAAAGAGCAGATTTTGCATTGGGAGTATAATGGCAAGAACTACGGCCCATGCATAATAATTATAAGGAATTTTCTATGGAATTTTGTTAGGAAGGCTATCAGATTAAGATCTGTGGTGATGGTGCTCTTCTTTTCTCACAGTAATTATAATGAATGATGTCAATGGTAGGAGAAAATATTCTGTGCGGAGGCCGGAGGCAGCTCTACGTCTGGAGGCGAATCAAGTGCAGCCATGTCAGCTGTACCGCGAGCAATACCGAGCCAAAGTACACAGCCAAGGGGTGATGTATAGCATTTTGATTGGTCTCCAGAAGGCGTTCGGCATCCATACAGAATAATTAGTCCAACAGCATCACCATCTATGTGCTTTCATATGGCCATATTGGTAGCAGAATATACAGCTAACCTTCCAGCAAAGAATAAGAGCTTTTACAAGAACATCACATAATCTTTAAACCACCATCAGAATATCGCCTTGTCATGCTGTGGATCACCGGATTCCTCTAATTCTAGGAACAAAGCCAGTTAAGTTACGATCATGTAATGGAAATTACATAGAGAGTAAGCAATGAAAAACAATATGGATGCGATAAAAAATAGATATTTGTAGGTAGGAATGAGATTTATCAGTTTCATATATAGGATTTTGAGATATCTTGTAATGGAAATTATTATATCATGCAATAAGAGTGAATCATCAGGAGACAAATATAGACAAAAATAGTGCATAATATTCTTATCTTCCATTTATGAAAAGAAATACAATCATTATTATTTTATGGAAGATTTTCACTTTTGAAAATTATTAATGTTGATGCCATCACTATGGATGAATTGATTATCATTATGATTATTACTCTAATTTAGAAAAAAAAAAATCTCATTTATTATTCAAATATGAAAGAAAATAATATTTATTTTTTTCTTAATTTGTTTCATTTGTAGCTTTAATTGAGGGCAGAGCAAATAAAGAAAGTTCTGATTATCATAAAAATAATGATTGAAAATTATTCTTTTTAAATGAGGGATGACCAAATTTTAAGCTAAAAATCAAGCTTGTGATCTTCTCCCCTCTCTCTCTCCAGCTTTCATTATATTTAAAAATTATTCTTTTTAAATGAGGGATGACCAAATTTTCATTTGTAGCTTCAATACTAAGTTTCTGAAGGATTTCACAGCCCAACCGTGACTTCAAGTATTTGTGGTGTGAGGGAAAGTTTTATAAATGTATAAGGAGGCTTTGCATTTCATTTTTAAAAACCAACGACTAAGCTACGGCTGTGATTAACCTAAATCTTAAGGAATGCAAATGAAGAATATGAAGAAAAACAATGAGAAGAAAAAGAGAAGAAGATGATGAAAGGGAAGAGACTCACAGTGATGAGGATCGAAGGCACGGTCGGTCGGGATTCGCAAGAGGAGAAGATTTTCGCTGCAGCTATCCGGATTCGCTCCCGTAGTCCCGTTTGCGCAAGGAAGATCGAAGAGAGGAATTAGGACTTCGGGTTACTTAAATTCACGGATGGGCTTTGCCGGAGGTTTTAACCGGTGCAATGTCGGCGGTTTTAACCGGTGCAATTTGCACCGGTTTTAACCGATGCAACTGGATTCAAATTTCTGATGCAAAACGTGGTTTTCGGAAACGCTGCGAAAGGGCTTGATTTTTGGTAGTGGCAAGAAAGTAAGATGCAGATACTTTAGGATCAATGATCTCTTTAATTAAGCATGATGACCATCAAATATTATGCAATCGAATTATGAAGATTTTAGATTTTTTTTTTTCTTCTCCGTAAATTATATATAATATATATTTTATTACTTACAAATATAAAGTGACTTAAATTAGAAAATCATATTTGGTTCAAATAATGTGAGGCCTTGCATACAATTAAAGGTGAAACTTGATGACTTCCTCTTATTAAGATTTTTTTTATGAGTTTTATTTCCAAAATTATCTTTATATCCTCTTACCATTCTTAAGACTAAGTAGATTAAAAAAATGTTTACGCGAGAGAGAGAAATAGAGAGAGAGAGAGAGAGAGAGAGAGAGAGAGAGCTCATTAATTAGAATTTGATTAACAAATGTTTATGCGAAACTTTTTAATAATACAATATTATATTTGCTGCATTATAAAGAATAAATTCTCTCTGATATTTCTTTTCTTTTTTTTTTCCTTAATTTAGGATATGCATAAATAAGTAAATGATATAGCCTAATTCCCTTAATTCTAATGAAACTTAGTTAATTATGTAATAAACAAAGCGTAATATAATTAACAAATCCAATGATTCTATTTGGGTACCTAATTCTATAACTTTTAATACATTTTAATTTTATGCATAGGATTTTTGTTTGTTACAACAACAACAAATAGAAGATTAAATTCTCAACATATAAGAAAAAAAATAAATGAAAACCACCAACAAAATGACGTCGGACACCGGAAGACGTTCGGAGCCCAATAAAAATACACCACATCACACACTACTCGATACTGATCTCTGTATTTGCTCGGTACTCCACAGTACCGAGCTCAGTACTGTTCGATACTGTGGAGTACCGAACTCAATACTTCACAGTACCGAGTTCAGTATTACTCGATACTCTAAAGTACCGAAAGGTAACTTGTGTCCGGTGTCTGAACCCAATAATCTCTCCAAAATGACAGAGAAATTAACAAAATAATGCACCTTAACGAAAAAATCGAGATGACATCCTCAACTGGGATTAAAAACAGACGACTCCATTTATGGAGGATAGAACGAAGAACACAAAAACAAAAGTGAAAGGACGGAGAGAAGGCAGATGGGAGAATAAGAATTTTAATAATATATAAATTATTCTTCATTCATTTTCAAAGTTTTATACTTTTATGTGTAAATATTTAATGTCCTATTTATCCTTGCCATAAATAGAAGTAGTGGGCCAAGTCAATAGGCCACGTGGCACAAGCAGTGGAGCCTTGCACCTTGGGCCGGTTCATATGATACTTATATATACGCATCATCATTAACATATACATAAACTATTTTTTAATCAATTTATAAGATTTTATGAATAATTATTTAATATTTATTGGTAAATATATATCATGAGAATGAGAAATTTTACAATGCATTAATTATTTTTTTCATATATTTTAATGATTTTATGAGTAAATATTTAATGTCCTATTTCTCCTTACTACAACCAGAAGAAGTGTGCCAAGTCAATAGGTCACATAGCATAAGTAGTGGACCCTCGCGCCTTGTGGCAACTCATAATATAATTGTCGGAGCTTAAAATAGATGAAGCAGAAGAAACTTATGAAGATTTACTTCCTATGGAAATGTGCCAAGTTAACTTGGTGACATCAAACATGTCGACAAGAGGATAATATGTTGAGGAAGCAATGCCTGTAGCTTAGAGGAAGATTTATAAATTCCAAATGAGGAATCAAAGCTAAACATAGCATCGTAAATGGAGCTAATGAAGATGGTTGGTGATTCTAAATCAGCTTAGGAGGCAACAAGGGCTAGTTCTGAAGAAAACGCTTCATCAAGTGAACCTGAGTCAAATGAAGAAGTCCAAGTGCAATTGAAAAGTGGCAAGGTACTGTCATCTCTGCATAAGGGGGTCTCTAATAAAGACAATGGATAAGAAATAGTTATCAATGAAGACATTATTTCCAAAGAGCCTAAGAAGAAAGACGCTTCAAACAAATGGATAGATTACAATATCTTATTCCATCTAAGGAAAATCTCAGCACAACTCAGCATATACGATGGTCTTCTAATGTTTGAAGATCTTTAAGAAACTTTGATTCAGGCTCTAAAAAATCTTGAAAGATATGAAGAGTTGAAGATATGAAGCGTATTTCACTAAATATTGCATGATTGAAATCCTACAGGCTCAGAACAAACCAATCATTACTTTTGTCGAAGATGATCTGATGCTCGGAATGGCAAATCATATATGTTACTGTAGATAGCAACGGCATCATAATTAGCTGAATCTGATTGATCTCGGGTCTTCTTTAAATCTCATAAATTTAAAAGTACTAAGATCATTGTGCCTTGATGTACAACATCTTGGACAAGATAAGCTGATGGTACATAGTTTTAATGAGAAGGGATAAAAGTCTATGGGATCATTCATACTTCCTTTGGAGAACCTTATACAAAGGAACAATTATTACGTCCTCCGACCGGACGTAGAGGAACGTCCGGTCGGAGGCCAAATCGCGCCAAAAAATGAGAAATACCAAGCAAATACCGAGCAATGCCAAACAATAACGAGGAATACCATCACCTGAAGATCCAATACCGAGTTATACCGAGCTAGCTATATCAAGCAATACCGAGTTATACGAAAGTTGTACTGAGTTTTTCCTAGAAAAAACTCGGTATAGCTCGGTATTGCTCGGTATAGCTCGGTATAACTCGGTATTGGTCTTCACAAAGCGGTATTTCTCGTTATTATCAAATAATACCTAGCAATACCGAGCAAATACCGAGTTTTTTGGTGGGATTTTGCCTCCGACCGGACGTTCCTCTACGTCCTTATACCGGACCTAATAAAAGTTCTATACAAAGGCTAAGTTTCATGTGATTGATACGGACACTGCGTTCAAGGCGCTTATGGGTCGTTCTTGATTGCATGAATATGATATTGTCCCATCGACCCTACACTAGTGTATGAAATACCTTAGAGATGGAGATGAGTTCAGGATCTCTGGTGATATACAGTCCTTTGTAGTTCATGAACTGAAAATATTTGGAAATGTGAAGTACTTTATTCCAAAAGAGCTGAAGCCATCAATCCCTCTTGAAGCTAAAGCATCAAATTCAAAAGTTACAAAGCGGCCTAAAAAAGAAGTAGAAAAGAAGCAGGTGGAGAGAAAGAAAGCAACGCCGACTCTCCCTAAGATAGCTACCATGCTCAAACCAGGCATAACACTCCCTCACCTGGGGAGCAATATTGAAGAAGATGACGTCATCCTTGCCAAACCTAAGAAGACCTACTGATATTTATTTAAAGGGAAGAAGAAGGCAGAATATTCATATTCTGATTATAACTATGAATCTACCTATGCGATCAAGGTGCAATGTGTCTTCTCAAATAGAATAAGTAGCTTGTCAATCTCAAAAAGCATATTCGTGGTCATGCCTCTTCCGCCATGGCATTTCAAAGAAATAATCCCTCGAGAAGTGCATAATGTCGAAGAGCTCCAAACATTTTACGCTCCTCTCCTGAGTAAAAACACCAAGCCATGGACAGTGGCGGAGCCAGAAAATATATTTAGGGGGGCCTAAATTAATCAAATGCTTTCCTTAAAGAGTAGCTGCTATCTTAACTTAGCCCTTCCATCCTTCAAATTTTGGAACATGTTGCTGACTTAAATAACAGTACTTAGCCAACCTCAACCAATTTGTCAATTACCTCATACGAGGGGTCTCGTTATCAATATCTAAGCTCAATGAGATATCATCCAAAAATGTCCATCTCATGAATTTAATTAGCCACACTCGAGCTAAAGAATATGTTTTAAATATGTATTACTTTGATGTTGTCATTCTTATAACATCCAAAATCCTATAAATAAAGGGTTAGTGGGCAATTTTACATGGCAAGAAGAGTGAAAAAGAAACGCAATTTTGAATAGCCAAATTTATTCTAATCAAATCCTAAAATTTCTTTCTAGATTCTTTATTTTTCCATAGAATATTTTTATCTCTATTATCTCTTGTTGATTTTATTTGTTGAAACTTATAAATCATATAAGTATGATTCTGAAAAATATGAATTCAACATTAATGGAATGCTTATGTAGTATGAAGTTGAGAGTTTCTTCAGCTCTTTAAAAAATTATTTATAAACTTCAAATAATAATTCGCACAAATTCGAAAAAAAAAAAAAGCTATAGCATTTTAACCTTTCTCATCACAAAATGGTCATTCAGATATAATATGATTCAATTGTTGTTATATAGAAGATAATTAGGAAAAAATAGATTAAAAAGTTTTGCTAAAGAGGTCAATCTTAAATTTAATTAATTTAGTTCGAAATTAATACAATATAAATTTAATTGATTAGTTATATTTTTTACAATAAGTTCACTCCTAAAACTTTTTTAATAATATACATTTATACATTTTTTTAGGGAAGAGGCCTTGTATTTATTGTACGGAAGTATCCTCGAAAGGAGATTTATTGTGTGATCACATGTGGGGAAGTTGAATCCGATGACAACAGCGAGATAGAGCTCTACGAATCAATCTTTCATATGATCAACTTGTAGAAGTTAAACCAATAAAGAAAGATATTATTTTCTCTTTTAGAGCCCACATATATCTGGCAACTCCACTTGGCATATTTTTCTTCCTGAATAAAGCCTGCATCTATAAACTTCTTTGTCCCTGCAATCACCTATTCTTTAATATCCATTCTCATTCACCTTTGAACTTGTTTGACAGGTATTGCATCTAGTTTAATAACTAATCTGTAAAATGCTACATCATGTGATAAGCCAAATATTTCAATATATGTCTAGGAAAAGCAATCTTTGAATTCACAGAGTTCTTTTATCTTTTCAACTTAGTCTCCGCAGAGAATAGCACTAATGAAGGTTGGGTCAAATACCTCTGACTAAATAGGCTAAGAACCATGATGACCCAGGACGACATAACCATGAGATATTCCCCCTTTACCAACACTTATATAGATAATATAAGGGGAACATATAAATATTGAGATTTAACCTAATTAAAATATAATTTTATTAATATAAATCAATGATTTAGAGAAAATACTAATACAATATAATATGCATAAATCATGAAATGTATGTATATCACATGAAGCAAGGGTGTCAAAACGAAATTTCAAGTCTGGTTCGGGTCCAATCCAAAATTAACCATAACCCGACCCGTTTTTAGGAACTCCAACCCAAACTCAATCCGTCGGATTATCGGGTTGACTCTATCCAACCCCCTAATTCGAATATGGTTGACCCGAGCAGTGCGGGCGAGCGATGTAAGCGAGCAATGTGAGATTGCTGGTGAAAGTGCGTAGGCATGAAATGCAAGGTCTAGTGTGGCAATGCACATGGGCATGGTTGCGGTGCAAGGTTTGCAGCACATGCAAGGGTGGGTCACAAGACGGGTGCACAAGAATGTGGTATAAGGTAGAATCCAAGTCAATTTTAAGCTTTTAAGTCAATCCGATTTTAAAAAAGAGGTGGAACATTAAACACTAACCAACCCATTTGCCAAATAGGTTTACCGGAACCCAAAAATTTTTAGGTCAAATCTGAATCGAGTCAAATATTGCTATGATGCATAAGGGGTTCCGAGGTGATTAAATTATTTTCGAACAATCAATGATTTAGTTCTTCTTCCCTTATTTAATGACAAATTACATTTGATATAATGTCATATAAACTAATATGATTTGTCATACATGATTATTATGTATGATATTTTGCATGTATAAGCATGATATTTATTAATATAAACTGTAGGCAAGCATGTATCTCTTTATATATTAAATTTTATAGTATATTTAATATAACCTATTCAATTAGGCTTGTAACTAACCATATGCACAGCAAAATGTGTTATTTAAGGGTAAGGAAACACATGCAATTGAAGCATATTTTAGTTAAAACTATAGGCTCGCTCGCAATGCATGCAAGATTCATAATCCTACTTCCCAAGAAGTTAAAGAAACATCAAGGATTTTGGTAGTGATCACTAATAAAAAATGGGGCTATAAAATATAAGCTCATTTCCTTTTACTATTACTAACAAAAAAGAAAAATAAGACTTCTTCTTAAAATCTGACACTAATATAAGACAACAAAAACAGCTTATAAAATCAGCCCTCCTGAAATTGGGGCTCTTCTAAAAAAAAAAGAAGAAAAATATAAGGACTAAAAAGGTAAAGAAAAAATTACAGATGCCTTGACACAGTTGTGCTAGAATATCCATTAGCCATCTTTAGAGGCTTCGTCTTGTTGCTGCAATTTGTTAGACTACAATGTGGGCATATGTATTCCAAACCGTCAGTTTTTGCATAATCCTGTCATAAAATTTTACAGCTAAACAACTCGGGAGAAATAAAAGAAAAAAAAAACAAGTTTTTGTAAGCTCAGAAACATAAGATTTATGAAATGCCACAAGCATATTGAATTTTTCACAAAAGAAATAATAATAATATTGAAAGGAAGAAATTGGGTACCTTGAAAGTACCAAGGCCAGGCCTTCTGTCACAACCAAAATGAGCCCACTCACCACATAATCCACAGTTAACCCAGTCCCCCGGAGCACTACTGTTAAAATAATAGTGAGGTATATTTGTTAGTTTTGAACTACAAAGGAAGAGTAAGAGTAGAGAAATAGATGATATTTATAAAAGGATTTTAGTCTGACCTATTGCATAACAAGCAACATTCTCCATCAACATCATCATGTGCTAACTCGTACTCTAACAAGTACGTCTCGTAATGTCTTTTAAGTGTATTCCCAACGCCCTACATGAAGGGTAACGAGGAATGTAAGTATACAAACAGTGACCTGCTGGCTTGCAGACTGTAGAGGTTCAAATTATAATGTTCATCAAACGGTGTAGACATGCGAAGAAGAATATTCAGTGGGTGTTGGTGCAGCTAGAAAAATAGAAAGATAAATAGTGATAAAAATAGCCATTGAGTCTCCCTATATCATTCTCTTATTCTAATCTCTATGGCAATCTTGTCACAAGCCCCTGCTGTAGACATCTATCTAGAGAGAGGCATCATTTGATGGGATAAAAAATTTCATTTGTTCACACAACTGACCTTGTAACACCCCCCCTCCGAATTGGCTGAAATTGAATGTTGAAGGAGCTCTACATAATAATAATGCATAATAATAATTCAGATGGTATTGGAATGGTGGTTCGAAACAGCCAAGGCATGTTGATTTTGGTGGCTGGTTGGAGTGTTTTTTATTGGGATAGCTCGCAGGTGGAACTATTAGCTATGAAATACATTGATGAAGTGATTGAAGGGTAGATGCTTGGAATGCAAGGGCTGGTTATTGAGGGTGATAATGCCAGCATTATTACACATTCAGAAATTATGCAAGAGTGCTTTATGGAAAAGCCGGATTCAGGATAGTGATCAATTCAACTGGTTGAAGTTGTTCAACTCAGTGGTGTTTGTGCATAGACTGAGAAGATGCAATAAAGCAGGTCACTATTATGCTCAGCGTGTTATAGAAGAACATTCTTTGTGGAAGATAGGAGAAGGGAATTCTTTGTATATACTTTAAGAATTGCTTAATATTCTTGAGGAAGACTGTTTTTTGGATTCTGTTTTTTCTTAGGAGCAGGTTTGGCCGTTTGTATTTTTTCTTTTATTACTCTCGTATTTGTTGATTGTTGAATGCAATATATGCAATATGTTCGAGTATAAAACCCACAGAATACTTTCTTGCTGCCAAAAATAATTTTAAAATGATTGTGCATTCTGAACCTTAATATCAAGCCCAAAATGTTACTGAATTTGCATAAATACAAGCTCCATACAGTAAATTCAAGCTATTCAAGGTATTATGGAAAAATTAAAGTTAAAAAAAAATACCGTCATTCTGTTGGTTAGTGTATGGTTTCGCATCTTAGAAAAGACCTGACCCTTCCAATTTATGCCATTCCCAACATAAAACCCTCCTCTTGACACCACCTGGACCAATTATCACACGTTATTTCAAAATCCCAGTGAATAAATTCGTCAATCTTGGGAAAAAATCTACTAAATAACAAAAGAAAGATTACATCTCAATTATTAACATGAAAGAAACAGTTTAGTTGACTAACCTCTCGATACAAATTGTAGAGGTCAAGCCGCTTTGCATTAAGTATGGCGTCAGGAAACTCTGGCAAACCCCCTTGAGGAACGAGTCTGTTGTGTCCCCGAAGAACTAAGAACTCCATCACATCCTTCAAGAACTCTTCCTAAGGAAGACAAAGAACAATAACCAAAAAAAAAGAAATTAAATGGGGAAAATCACCAACTAAAACAAGTGGATAGAGCCCCTGCACATATGTTTTCCTAATAAATAAATAAATAAAGCATGTAGTAGCTTACTTCAGAGCAAACTTGAATAGGAGCCCGGTTACATCCATGCTTCATCATAGGGACCGGACTTACAGTAAGTACTTGCTGAGTTTGAAAAGAGCATGGAACTGATTTTCTGTGACTCGAGGGAGCCGCAGAGTTGCTTTTTGTGACAGGGACAACCCCCGGGTTAGGCTTTGCCTGACTTCCTTCATATGCAGCAGACAAGGATATTTTGGGGAATGGAAGCGTCTTATGCTGTCTCAAGTGAGGAATAGGCCTCATTGCAGCAACCTTCAACTTCTTCCTGGAATGCAAAACAGACGTATGGTTCCCATTCATTGATCTTTTGTTACTATGATTCCCATCTATTTTTGTATAGATATTTCCATTTTCTACGGCTAGGTTGAAAGGAACGATGGGTTTTAATTCTGGATTAGGCCTAAACCTATCACAGAAAAGAGAGGAACACCATCTTGGCATATGATTAATGAGAACATCTTCGCTGGAGAACTCTGCGGCTTGTCTTTTGCAGAAGAAAAGGAGACGATCTGCATCTTCTTTCTCAAAGGAAGCCACCGGAGTGCCCTGAACACTGGCGATTCCAATAGCAACAAGGCTGCGGTAGGAAATTTCAGGTGCGAGATGCTTCAGAACCTAACAATGCAAATAAAGATTATATAAAAAATGGCTGATGTATATTAAACAAGAAAAATACGTACTAATCATCTCAATCCTAGCTGTCCTTAATTAATGTATTCAATTTGGGTTCCGAGGTATGAACCAAATATTACAAGCATGGTGACTCGGTTTCCATTGTTGTGGGAACAGGTAAAAGAGAGAAAGGTAGAAGAAAGCATCAAAAGAGGAAGGAATGTACTACAAAACCAAAATAGAACAACGTTATATCAATTTGTTCAGGCATCTATACCCTATGTTGCACCTATACACTTATTTATGAAGGCGTGTTGTATCTGATACACCGAGACACGGATACGCCTCCGATACGGCACTGGTACGTGTCGGATATGGCTTTGTCGTATCCAATTAAAATACTATTTAATTTCAAAAGGACACGCATATCCGATGCTCATGTCCATTCAAAAAAAAATTCCGAAAAAAAAAAAAAAAGACTTGTCGTATTTACTTCCACAACTGCGAGCAAGGTTCTCTCATTCTGAGATGGATTTGAGTTTCTTTATGATATAAGAATATTAGAAATTGCTAATCTTTCACTTGATTAGCCTGAATTAGAAACTATGATATTTATTAAAGATGATATGGAAGTTCAACGACAAACCACTGAAGAAGCTAATCATATCATTCCTTCAATTGAATAGTTGAAACTTCATGTGCTAGATAATTTATGTTTATGCTTTTATTGTTGTACTAGACATTTAATACTTTTATTTTGATATTATAAGCTACAAATGATGTTACTTTCATTTTTTTTGTAATTTCAAATATTATGCTTTGATTGCTTTCTTAATTTTTATGTATATGATTTATAAATTATAATGTCATGTCTGTGTTGTATCCGTATCTTGTATTTTTAAGAATTGATGTGTCCCGCATCCGTATCGTGTCGTATCTGTGTCGTCGTATCTGTATCAGTGAAACATACTCTATACCTGAAAACCGACTATATGCATATGGTGTCATCAAAATAAAATTGCATAATTCTTGCAACTGGGATTTGGTTGGCTTCTTGGTTGCAATTCAATACTTACTGAGCCCGTTTCCTTTTGGCGGATTTTTATCTTTTCTGCCCTGCTCGGGCCATCTTTTACATCTTTTATCTTTACATTTTGACATGTGTATTTTTGCACCTCTTTGGTGACTCTTCCTCTTGCTGTTTTTAGTGGCTTCAGCCACAATTTTGTATTTTCTTTTGTTTTTCCCTCTTCTAAACATATAACTAGTTTTTATTATCAATGGAAATTGGGCTTTGCCCTTAATTTTCCCAAAATAAAATTGCATTCATGGATAATTAATAAGAATATACTTTTCATAAAGCCCATGAAATTTATCTTCATTGGAGGAAATATTCCAGGAAATGTGCATAGAAGGAGAACGTAAGAAACATACCTGGGCAGCCCATGCTGGAACCTTCATACGTACTTCAAATACAGATGCCCCACATGCTATGGAACCAAAACTCAGAGAGTCCGGCAATGATGACTTGCTTTCATCACAAGTTGGCGAAGCATGAACTAACTGACTATTTTCAATAAGAACTTTCTTAATGTGACTTTCCAGGAGCTGTATTTTTCCTTAACCAAGTTAAAAGTGGTGAAGTTCAAATCAAGGTTAGGTGAACCAGATTGAGCCTGTACCTGATCATCAAAACACGTCTGTGGGCTGCCAGATACCAGAAGCGATAAGTGAGCAGAACTGCAAGTGGTGAGATCACAACGCATTGTCACAACCCCACGTGCAAATGTTCCTGCTTGGAGAGGTGGTGGCGTAGCACTGAAGACATAAATAAAACCGGTTCAAATTTAACACCCAAAATAAAAGAAAAAAATAACAGGGAAAAGTGATAAAAATTAATCCAAGTCAGTAAAAAATTGGTGGAAAACATGTTATTCGGTCTATGGCCCAATTTTTTTTTTTAAAGTGCACAGGTTGGGCTACGATGTCGCCTGCTGATGAAAAGCAAGAAAGGATTGGTAAGGACATCAGTAACAAGTTACACAACAAGAACAAAATTGATTGTATCAACCAAGAGGTATCTTATTTGGTCTATGACCAAAATATTTCAGCAAATACCTAAGATTCATAACAATAGGCCCGTAGAGAACAGACACGTTTATCTCAACTAAAGATAAGTCTGAAAATATAATAAGGAATTGGTACATTCAAATTTAACTCAAATAAAGAGGTAGGAAGGTTTTGTCTTTTTGATGCACCTATAGCAAGGCCAAAAATATTATAATCACCTCATATTAAAGAAGCATGAACACATTATATGAGATGATGGTCGTACGTAGAAGATCCTTCTCAAATTAATTACAAAAAAGCATCAAATTACTAACTAAAAGTGTAACAATATCCTTGAAGAAAATCTATAATGCATGAGTTATGGCAATCACCTTGCATAGGCATAATGCATTGGCAAGGTTTTATGGATAAAATAAAAAAGTTAAGCAGTAATTATTATTGATGTAGTGCAACGAAAGTTACAAGATTGCCTAAGATGTACCTGACTCGATTATGAAGTTTACTTCCACGAATCTGTAAGCAATAACGAATGAACATCAACATCATAGCCATAAAAATATAGGTTTACAATAAAAATATTGCATACAAAATAAATAAGAAAATATTAAGATTCAAAATTTAATCATGTATGCAGCTCACCTTGGCCTAGTGATTGGGTAATCTGGCTCCAACCACAAGGTCTAAGGGTAGAGACCTAGCATGTATGATTGTGTGCATAAGTTTGCGCTTAAATTTGCTCAAACCACCCCTCAAAAAAAAAATCCATGCTATCATTAGAATATTTTAGGTTCTCATTATACTACAAGATTTTCTTTCCAATTAATAAAGTAACAACCACAACAACAACATCAAGCCTTTGTCCCACTACGTGGGATTGGCTAAATGAATCCTTTTTCGCCATTGTACCCTGTTAAAAGTCAAATTCTCATTTAAATCTAATAAAGAAAGATCATTTCTAATATTTTCTAACCAAGTCTGTTTAGGTCTACCTCTACCTTTTTTAACATAAGTCAAATCTAATACCTCAACTTTCCTAACCGGGTCTTCAAAAGGCATCCGTTTAATATGACCAAACCATCAAAGGCGACTCTCTCTAATCTTATCTTCCACTGGAGCTACTCCAACCTTTTCACGTATATGCTCATTTCGTATCCTATCTCTAAGGGTAAAGCCACTCATCCACCTAAGCATCCTCATCTCTGCAACACTTAACTTAGTATTATGCTTCTCTTTTAATGGCCAACATTCAGCGCCATAAAACATTGCAGGTCTCACCACCATTGCAAGTCTCACCACATTAATAAAGTAAGAAAATTGAAAATTGGTCAACTAAGCTGGAGCGCCTAAAGTTTCTAGCATCACTTTCTATGGCTAACAACGAGAAGTGATTAATGGCATGTGGATCCATGAACACAAGAAACCTAATAACGATAACATTTGTCTTGCCTCAATTCAATTTCACTTGAGGCCTCTGTTCATATAGCATTCAAATGAAAATCCCATGTTTCACAAATATTAAAGGTACTAAATGAAATCAAAAGATTGGTTCCAAGTTTAGATCTAGCGGACCTGATAACTGCAAATGTAAACCAAATGAGTTAAATCTCTAAATAGAATACAACTCAACCAAAACCTTTGTGGCCTGTATACAATATTACAAAACCAAACATTAAATAGTTCTTATTATGTCCAAAGATTGGAAGAAAGAGGATAGATGAACAAATCGCATACACATATTTGTTTGTGTAAGAATGAAGAATACTTAGGTGAAGAATACAGAGTTTGTGCTAAGGAATACATTTACGAATTAAAGGCACCACCACATCTTAAATATAGACATAAAGAGATAGAGAAATAGACAACGGCGGGGAGAGTTACAAAGAAGAAAGGCTCAATGAGCTTAACATAAAAATATCAATGCCACAGTCGGATAGTTTAGCCATACAGTGAATGTATAGAATCTGAGAGTGTGACAAAGAAAGCGAAGAGGGAGAGGCTTGAAGGAAGGCTGAGTGATAGCTCAGATCTATACACTTCTTTGACACCGGTAAAATACATCTAGTAATATCATTATAGTCAAAAGTAGAAAAAACAGTGTGATTATGAGAGGAGGCTGAGATAGGTGTGGAGAGGTTATCATCCTTGACATTCTCAAAGGGTGAACATCAAAATGCTATTCTGGCACTGTAGTGGTGACCAACAGACTTGCCGTAGATAGCGCCCAACACAATGTGGTATTCTCATTTGCATTCAAGTCGATGCATAATTGAAACTATGGGAGTGAGAATTTGTTGCAATATTGTAGGTTTCCAACAACAAAAATAACTCTTAACAACGAATTAAGATTTCAACTCGGTCATTCAAAAATAAAAACTAATATTTTCTAAGGTCTCTAATCAACTGACCAACATAATAACGAGGAACAATTTGGGTAAAGCTCAATATAATTTTTCAAGTTGAACTCAGGGCAAGCTCTGGAGTCTATTGGAAGTTGGCACATTTAGTAAATATTTAACAAATAAATAATAAATTTATAAAAATGTCACCAAACAAATAATTAACTATAATAGTCCACTTCACCAAACTTAAAAAATAACATTTGAGACATTCACATACATGGTACTAAATTTGCCCAATTACCTACACCAAATTACAAAATAATTATTAGAAAAAATTCACATAAATGACATTATAGTTGTCAAACGACCTAAACCACACCCAACTCATAAATGTCACCTACATAACACCAATAATAGATGAAGATGCTTAGAATATCCCAAATTGAATAACTAAAAGATTCTTTTATTAAAATGGACAAACCTAAGAAGTCTACAAGCCATTTTGGTCATTTACTCGATATATTTTATTAGACTAAATTATCCTTTTGGAAAATATTAGTTTAAAATTTGAATGTTTTCTTAGAATTAGATTTGATTTTAGATGAGATTATATTTGAATTTAAATAATCTTGTCTTATCATTAAATTCTATTTCTATAAATAATGATTGATGGCTTGCATTCAAAATTGCCTATTGACAAATAAAAATTATCTCCGAGGTCAATTGATTGTTCTACTGTTCTCTTTATTCAAGTCGTACATATAAAATTTTCCCTTTTCCCCTCTGTTAACGGCATCAACATGAAATTCGATCAAATTTTTGTAACACTCTTTAATAAAATTGAACAATTTCACGGCAATCACAACCTCAACCATCCCAATCCTCATGAATCTGTTGTGATCTCCAAAACTCCTAACCCAAGCTTTTGTGAAAGTCTACTTGACCCTATCGCCAATCCCTCCTCACCCCACCCTTGCATCATCCACTACCATACCACAAAAGAACCACTAAACGCTTTATGACTAGCAACCTTCCTCACACACTTCCTTCTCACAAACCCAATTCAAATCATATTTTTCAAGTCCTTATTTACTTGGTTTATTTTATTACGCTAAATTATTTTTTAGTTTTGAATGTTTTCTTAGGATTAGTCTTAATTTTAGACAATATTATATTTGAATTTAAATAAGTTTGTATTATCTTTAAAGAATGATGGCTTGTATTCATAATTGACTATTGATGAATAAAAATTATTTGTTAAGTCAATTGAATGTTCACTTTTATGCAAGCTAGGTATGTAAAATTTTCTCTTTTTCCCTTTCATTAATTGGCATTAGAGCGATATTCAAGCAAATTGGCATCTTTCTTTGAAAATTTTGATCAATCATGCCAATCCTCATGAACAAGCCGCAATCTCCAAAACCCCTAACTCAAGCTTATGTGAAAGTTCACTCAACCGATTGCTAACTTTGACTCACCTCATCCATGCATCATCTTCTTTACCACAACTACATAAGAATTGTTTGCATGCTTTATGATTTGTGACATTCTTCCCACGCTTCCTTCTTGTAAACCTCATATAATCTGTGTATCTTGCTATATGTGTTGCTTGCTCACATGTTGCATGCATTCTAGCGCACATTTGCTCCCGCTTCCAACACCGTATAATTCCATAATACCCTTATCTCACATCCTCAACCTATTTGTTATTTCTCTAGATAACCCATTCAATTTATAAGACTTATTCCTCCACTCCCGTATCCACCATTGTGCCTATCAGACAACAAATTACATGCAAATATTATGTTTGATTGCAAACTCCACCATGCCTTTCGGCATCAATTGCATCCCGGAGTTTCTAAATCAAGTTCAGATCTGCTACATCAGGTTCCATAATTTATCCTAACTAGGAAGTTACAATGCAGATCCTCCAATCGCAAGTAAATTACAATCGGCTCTTTAATCCCTTATTAAAAGTTAATTTTATCATAACAACAACAACAACAACATCAAGCCTTTATCCCACTACGTGGGGTCGGCTATATGAATCCTTTTTCTCCATTGTGTCATATTAAAAGTCAAATTCTCGTTTAAATCTAATAAAGAAAGTTCATTCCTAATATTTTCTAACCAGGTCTTTTTAGGTCTACCCCTACCTTTCTTAACAAAAGTCAAATCTAATACCTCTACTCTCCTAACCGGGTCATCGCAAGGCCGCCGTTTTATGTGACCAAACCATCTAAGGCGACTTTCTCTAATCTTATCTTCTATTGGAGCTACTCCAACCTTTTCACGTATATGCTCATTTCGTATCCTATCTCTAAGGGTAAAGCTACTCATCCACCTGAGCATCCTCATCTCTGCCACACTTAACTTAGTATTATGCTTCTCTTTTAAAGGCCAACATTCAGCACCATAAAGCATTGCAGGCCTCACTACCATCTTATAGAATTTTCCCTTAAGTTTGAGGGGTACATTTCTATCACATAACAAGCCCGATGCATTCCACCACTTCAACCATCCAACTTGAATTCTGCTGATAATATCCCCATCTATTTCACCATCACTCTGAACAATAGATCCAAGATATCTAAAACGTGTACTCTTATTAATGACTTGATCGCCCAAAGTCACAAACCCCTCACTAGGTCTATTACTACTAAAATTACACTCCACATATTCCGTTTTAGATCTACTCAAGCGAAAACCTTTAGACTCTAAGGTTGACCTCCATAATTCAAGTTTACCTTCAACTCCCTCTCTAGTCTTATCAACAAGAAGAATATCATCAGCAAAAAGCATACACCAAGGTACATCCTCTTGCAAATGTCTAGTGAGAACATCCATGACAAAAGCAAAAAGATATGGGCTTAAGGCTGATCCTTGATGTAACCCAACCGAAATAGGGAAATACTTGGTCAATCCACCTTGTGTTTGAACACAAGTAATAGCTCCTGCATACATATCTTTAATGATTTGAATATAAGCATTATTGACTCCTTTCTTTTCAAGAACTCTCCATAGCACTTCTGTTGGAACTTTATCGTATGCTTTTTCTAAATCAATAAATATCATATGTAGATCCTCCTTATTTTCTCTATATTTCTCCATCAAACCTCTTAATAAATGTATGGCTTCCATAGTCGACCTACCCGGCATGAATCCAAATTGATTTTGAGAAACATTAGTATCACGCCACAACCTATGCTCCAAAACTCGCTCCCAAAGTTAATTTTATCATAATAATTTTAATTTTAATTATTATAATGAAGTATGGTACTTATAATTTTCATTCCTATTATTCACATATATTTATGTTTACCAATCATACTTATATCCATCTTGAAATATTATGTGAGAAGTTGCCCCATGCTATAACCAAATTGCATATAAACTTTCAATAAGTCTTTATTTTACTTTCATCTAGCCAAAATACATACCATCATGAGAATCATTAATGAAACACCAAGACAAAAAAATCAAAAAGCTTCCTGAAGGCACCCATACCCTCATGATACGATAATGGTGCTTATTAAAATATGTATAATGACATGTTTTTTCTAATAAAGAATAGGAATTTGAGGAAAATAATGAGATATACATGGAATATGACTAATGCTGATTATGATATATTATTAGTGGTAAAGCCAATTATTGTGTCCAATCGAGTGTTTGAGCCTAAGTTATTATTAAGCATTAGCTAATGTCTCTAGCAAATTTTGTTACTGTGCCAACATTATCACCTACTCCAGCTCACTTGCTATTACCTCAGAAGATATTTAACACTACAAACAATTATAGTTTACATTAGTTACACTTAACAAATATTAAATTTGTGCTATCATTACCACCGTTATCACCTAAAGCATTCTTGATTCAAATTGCATATTTCATGCAAGCATATGAAGTTTAGAGCCACCCAATGCCCCAGCCTCGAAATACTACTTGGAATCATCATCCAATTGTTGTTCACAATATTGCATGATCTCCTCCTCTTGTAGAAGATGGTGCAACCTCCTCCACCTTGCCCCGCCTCCAACAAACTCCGAAGAAGAATTTTTTGTTACCAGGTAAATTGATACAATAAAAGACAACTCATTTAGTCCCAAAAAAAACTTTTCACAAGAAAATCAAAATGAGTAGAACCAAACTACAAAGGAGTTGAATCTTGTCAATTTTCAAGATCTTTTTAAGCCATCATTATTCTCAGCCAAAATACTCTTTTGTTAATTATATTGATTTTTTTTGTTGAATTATCTTTTGAAATAGTATTATGTTTGACTTTGAATACTTTCTTAGGATTAGACTTTTATTTTGGTAGAATAACATTTGAATTTAAATTATTTTGTTTATCTTTATAACCCTATTTCTAAAACTAGAGATTGATAGCTTCTATTAATAATTTAAAATTGATGAATGAGAATTATTTGTGAGGCCAATTGATCATCTTGATCCAAGTTAAGTGTATGGATCACTTTAAAATGTGTATGCAAAGTTCCCCTTTTCACCCTCCTTAAGTGGGCACCAGCAATGGTGGGCAGGGTCATGTGGAAGATGGTTAAATGCCTGTAATAAGGGTAAGTGTAAATGATTGGAGACTGTTAGTAATGATGGATGATTGTCGTGGTAGATGATAATGGCTAGCAGTATGTGGTAAGAGGTGGTGGTAGATGCTAATGGCTAACAGTATGTGCTAGGAGGTGGTCGTGACTATGATCTGTTGGAGATTGACAATGAGAGGTGACGATTGTAGGAAGGCAGTTACTATGGTGAAATGCCTGAGCCGTTAGCAGTTGAGGAGTCAAACAATAGCAATGGAGGTTTGTGAAATGATTGTTTCAGAAATCTATAGTGGCGATGGTGTGGTGGTGAGGGGAGGAAGAAAATATGAATGGATGAATGCTTGCCACTTGTCCACCATTTCATTAACTCACCCATGGGTATCGTATCAGTTTAAAAAAAAAAGCTAAATAGGGTTAATTATAGAACGAATTGGATGTAAAATTGTTAATGCAATATAGTTAATTGAATAAGTTTACAGGCAGCTCTGTTCAAAAAATGGAACTTGAAGATGTGTTATGTGCATGTAGCTTGAAAGTGGTTAGTACTTGTCAACCATTATTCATTCAAAAAAAGATCATAAACTAGCCAGGGACATCAGTTTACTCAACTTACTTCAATATTTAGGAGTGCATTGAGGCCATCCTCTAGTGAACCCAAAAAGCATGAATCCTAAAAGCATACAATAAAAGATGGCAAAAGAACTGTAAGCATTACATATTTTTAAAGACAAAAACAAGGAAATCGTATGAATACCAACCCACCAAAGTGCAGGGGACTCCACAGACGAGAAACCTCATTTCCACATGTTCATCATATATTTTAATAGCAGAAAAGGTATCAGATAGATCTTCATCTTTAATCACTTCCCTCTCGGGAGAAGATACCGCAATCTTGGGAGCCTCCCCTAGAAGTCGAGGCCCAAGCTTGCTATTATTTTTTTGGTTATTATCAGCAAACACATGGTTGTTTCTCACACAATAAAGTTGAAATGAAGCATTTGCAAGTTGGAAGGCGTCCCATGTGTGGCTACATGAACTGCAAAACAAAAGCCAAGTTAAAACAACATCGAGATTCACAGACGTGTCTTACTAAATTATATCAATTAAAGATAATAATACCTTTGTAGAACTGATAACAACGCTAAGCGGAAGATGGAAGCTGCATAAGATGAAAATGCATTCTTCCAATATATCACGTATGGAACTCCCTGGAATTAGGGGAAAAAATACAATTGCATTTGTCATCTTTTTTTTTTCTTTTAATGAAAATTTTCATGTAATGGTACAGTTGGAAGAATGATTAAAAGGTATTCTTCCTATATGTTGTATGCAAAACTCTCAAGGAAAAGAATAAGAAAATAGTATTTTTTAACAAGAAAACTATGGCCAATACAACTACCATGGCCGGTACAGCTATGGAAAAAAAATAAGCATTCTAGATTCACAACAGCAAGATTTCAGTGCCTACTAAGATAATGACTACCATTCCGAACGTCGAAATAACGCAAGAGTAAAAAAAATAACTTAAAAGATCGTAGCTAAGTGAAGGGAATGGCAGTTTGAGGTTGCATGGAAAACTTAAAACAACTAGGACCTGCTTCACATCCACTTTCAATTGTCTTTGATCTCTACTTGCATGAGTTGTGTTGAAAATGCTTTAAAGACAAATGAAAGATCCATCTGATGAATTGAGAAAATCTGAAATAAAATGAAATAAAAGCAACGGTAACATGATACGAATGTAAGAGTTAAACAAGTTTTAATTTTCACATGTCACGATAATAATTTTAAAGGAAAAAGAAGCATACTATATGTTGATTAAAAAGACAGAGGTCATAAGGGAATCAAATTTAGATACAATGAAGTAACGTGAGAGGTTAATAGATAATGCCACTACTACAGAATCAATTAGCATTTATGCCAAAAAGATCAATTAATGAGTGATTTTTTAGCTAAGGCAATACAAGGAAATTATAAAATGCAACGAATAAACCTTGATATAGTTTTTGTTTGTATAAAAAAAGGCATGTGATTGAATAACATTTGCTGCAAGCTGACTTAGAAAAGGTTAAGCAGGAGCGACCTGATAAGCCTAACACCTAACAAAGAAATTGACTCTCCTTTGAATAGTTTCTAGTCTCAAACTAACTCAAGGATCAAATTCCAAAATAGATGAAGATGAGTCGTCATATCAAAATTAAGAATAATATTCAGTCATAAGCTAATCTTAAGTGACCTATAATTCCCATATTTATAGATGGAAAAAATAACTAATTACTTCCAAACTACTAACAAATTGCTAACAAAGTATTAGCAAACACTAATAAATCGCCACTAAACTTAATGGAGTCAACTCAAATAACACTCTAATATCCTTGAAAAAATGAAAATTTGGAATTTCTGTTTTTATCAATGCCCCCGGTGTACAAGAAATTCTATTCCAAAGAGTGATGGTGATAATAATGAGGGCCCCATGAGCATCAAGTTAAATAAACTTGGTTTCACTAATAACAAACATGTGTGGAAGCTACTAACGTGTTTTATAAGGATTGATAATCAGACTAATAATCAAGTCAATTGAATATATATATATATATATATATGAATAAATCTAAAGTTTCTAACAGTATCGCAAGGCTTAGAGGCTCTAGAAGGTGAAGTGCCGAAAGTGTACAAAATAGGTGTATGCAAACATGATATCCTTCATTGTAATGCCAAGCACTATAAAGAATAACACCGAAAGCATCCAAATTTTCATGTCAACTCCATTACTATAATCAACATGTAATTAATCTATTTTCAATGAATGGAGCAACAAAATATGCTGCATGTATAGGTGATGAAAGGAAAACCAACAAGTGGCTAATTAATAGACTAGGTATGATATTAAAATGAGCCATACAAAAAAAAAACTTAATGATGGATCTAAGATAAGTTAACTCATTTTGGATCAATTTTGTATGTCGAGGAATTTAATTGGAGCAATGTCATACTTTGGAACTAAATTGGCAATATACAAATAGTCTCGGTACTATTTTGAAGTTTTTGGCACATAAAAGAAGATCCATAGTAATGTAGATCGAATTAATATCGAATGATTTAAAATAAAATAAAAAAAGGTAACTTCATTAAAATTCAAGCATAATAATTGTTCAGAATAAAGTTAGCATGTCATGTAGCACTCAAGACAATAAATGTGCAAGGAGAATTCATAAAATAGAACCCAAAAAATTAGGATTTGGGTTAATGATGTTCATAATTGATAATGATGGCAGGTGTCAATTGTTTGGGTATAATTGAAGGAAGATTAAAAATCATGGGACAATCATACTACGCATAAAAGTAGCATAATATTATTAATCAAAAGTCAAGCATGTACCTTGGCATGAAGTGCCTGTGCCATCTTTTCAGAGTTTGGAGCCTCCAAATAAACCTGCATTCAAAATAAAATTAATAAGAACCAAAAAGAAAACTGGTTCAATAGTCAAAAGATCAAAATCATATTCTCCATAAATGCATGCTTTGCTTTATGCATGAATAGAACAAATAAAGACAATTATATACCAGTGCATCCTTAGCAATGATAAACAGGATGATAATGTGCAAACTTTAAACGGTTCAAAGTTCATGCATTTGTTGATTAAATTCAGAATAAGAATCCACCAAAGAAACACAGCACGTAGAAACCAGCTAATGTTAGAGATCATGTTCATTATCATGCTGGTAATGGACACACATAGTCTTGGATAAATAATAAATTAAAGCACTAAATATTACGCCATCATGGACACACATATTTCTAAGTCTTCCTGTTAATTTGTGTCATAAAGGGTTGTGCAACCTATCTCCATCTAACCAATTTCAAGAGTGCAAGTGAGTAGGATCCACATAGTGATTAATCTTATTGTTAAATCAGGAATTTCCTTTGAAAATCCTTCATGCTATTCTAATCTTGATTATGATTGATTATTCATGATTCTAATGCTTACATGTAGTTTGGCCTAAGCTTTAATCATCTCTCTATTGTTTTAATACTTGTTTAAATCACTAGAAGCTAACATAATTATTATTGCTCTAATTCAAAAGGCGTGTAATTTCTACATCATACATAGTATTGGATAAATAACAAATTAAATATCACGCCATCATGCTCCTGAGAAAAGATATCGCTGCACATGATAATTATGTTCTGCAACACATTGTTCAATAAGCCTTCGAGTAGAACAATGAAGCGGAAAAGGAACCAAAACAAGGTCCTCTTCCTCAAGAATTAGTACACAAATACAAGGGAGGTAAAATGACATAATTCACGGTATCAAAAATCAATCTTCTCCTTCACCCAAAGAATACCAAAATCGTAATTGGACTAACATAATTTTCAGCATCATAGCATTCCAAACAGACAAAAGAAAAAAGAGCTTACAATTGTGGGCAGAGGAGAAGAAATAAGTGAGCTAAGGGTCTGGGGTTCTGATAAATCAGCGTTTTCCCAAACAATGGAACCAATTTTTTCCTCATCTACACGATGCTCCCCTTGAAAATATATTATATTTGCTTCTAAAGCTCTCTGAGTCTCCCGAAAGCTATCAAATGTAGGGTTAGTCAGAGTATGAACCTGCATTCAGATACCAAAAAAAGGTCATTACTCAAACAAATAGATAAAAGGCATGTAATCCCAATTAATTTGTAGTGCTAAGATCATGAGAAAAAGATATAAATCTCCAACCGAACCTCCAGGCGGCCAGCTGAAACAAGTTCTGGAAACGGATAAGAAGACTCGCGCCTCACCTCCCCCTTCCGCTTATCTACAAATTTGCCGCACAAAACTGCGAGAAGAGTACAGTTCTGCTTCACGAGACTTTGCAAATGAGACATATTGCGCTCACTCCAGTGGTAAACAAATACAGCCACCAAGAATTCGCCCACATTAAATCAACAAATCAGAAACATTTTCAGAACAATCACAACCAGCTGCATCCAAAAAATTGGTGGAAATAGAAGGTCAAACAAGTAGGGTATAATCAAAACCCTAAACCCCTTGAAATCAAACACTAATAGATTTACCAGAGTAAGAAATATCAAATCAATATTACAAATTGCAAGGGAGGCGCTTACCAAGATGACGGAACGGCGATGAATTGAGGAAAGGGGTGAATAGAGCAAGGAAACCAGATAAATGGGCGGGGAATCCACGAAAAACCCCCACCAAGGTCTCCCCGCACAACGATGCCCACACCCTAAATACGGGAACGGGAAGGAACGAGAAGATTAAAGTAATTGAAGAAGGGAAATCAATCCGACGGCACCCCGTTCCTCCTTAAGAAGAATCAAAAAAATCTAAAGGAGGACTAAAAAATTAAGGCAGACAACAACATCAATCGAACCCATCAGGCTTTCTCCGCTCACACGAGGGTCAAAAGAACGGGGACAAGGGATTGGAATTTGGAATAATAAAACCCACCAAAATTTACCATCGATTGACAAAAATGGAAATAAAAATCGATCTCAAACACAACAAAGGGAAAACCATAATTAAAGAATCGAGAACTGTGAAACGCATTAAAAAGACCAAATGGCAGCAGAGGTAGGGAAAATGATAGGAATGATAGATGCGAGATGATTCGGAGAGCTGTGATTAGCATTGGCATGTTATTGAAGACCTAATTAAAAAAAACTATTGCGATTATAAAGTCGAGAAAAATTCAATCATCGAAAAACAAAAATATTAATTAGCTGACGATTTTTCCCAAAAATAAAAAAAAAACAGACGTTGATTTGTACGGAAGGAACCGAGAAATTAAATGGGATAATTCAAGAAAAGTATAATTTTGAGAGGGGAAATCGTTATAAACAGGGAACTTGGATTTGTTGTTCTTTTTTTTTTGGGTTTCGGGTCGATGGATTTTTTTTTTTTACTTGCTGATCCGATGCATGACGAAAAGCCGCAGCCCCCGCCCTCACTTTCTCTATCTCTCTCTCTCTCTCTCCGCGTATCTTGCAAATTGCGATCCTGCGGTCACTGTTTCTCTTGATCCGTTTATGTAATTGACGCACGCGAGAGAGAACGTTAGCTAATTTAATAGATTAAAATTTTAAAAATTAGTTAAAATTTGTGGATTAATTTTTTATATCAAATTTACGTTATGGTACTTAGTTTTTTTCTTTTAATTAAGTGGCTTGATTTAGAACTAAAAAGTCAAACTTAGTGTGCTTTTTAATAAGTTTTTTTTTTTTTGTCTTTTGTTAATCGATCTGTTGATGTGATGTGAAACCATATGCGGTGAAACATGACTTGCACGTTAGAAATTAAAGAGAGTTTAACTTTGCAATGTTAACGATAAAATCTAGCTTACTCAAGTAACATTCAAGAAAATTCGTTGTAGATTATGTTAACGGCAGTGATTACATTTAAGAATTATAAGAGTCTTGCAAAAGATAACCCAAAATAAACTAGATAATGCAAATAGCTACTACTAAAGCCACACATTTAAAGTTTAGATCGTTCACCTTGAGATCCGTCACTCGTTTGAAAGTGGTGGTTAGCGGAAGAGAATCGAAAGTAGACTTAGTGATGCCACTAATATACAAGTGATCTTGAGAGGACTTGTCGCCGGGAAAGAAGCCGGATTTGGAGGAGCGGGTGGGCGGCCATCAATGATCCACTCAGAGTCGGGATGTTGCTTGTCGATGACGATTATGAGAGTCGGTAGGATCCGATCCAAGTAGGCTCCAACAGTATCGTCGTCAGAATCAAATCCCGCGTCGAAGAACGGCGATCGTTGGATGTCGAGGTTGCCGTCAGCGTCGAACACAAGTCCCCATTCAAACTCGGGGTCCGCCATGCATGGTGGTCGTTAGAGATGAAGCCAAAGAGGGGGAGAGAGAGAGAACCGTGAGCAAAAGAGGGAGGAGGGCCACGGGTTGGAGAGGGGTAGTGGGAGGGTGGAGCTATGGGGGAAGAGAACTTAAAATCTGAATTTTAATTCAGATTTCCGAAATAGGAGAACTCTTAATTTTAATTTCAGATTTTTTTGAATTTGAAATTAAGATTAGGAGGGAAGGAATTCA